AGAAGGAGCAAGGACACAAGGTTCAACGCTAAGACAAAGACAAAACACATATAGATTAAAGACCACACGTACACAGAAAAGTACACATCCATATAAACAACCACAAACATAAACAAGAATAGAACAAAAAAAGGCAGACACACACCAAGACACCATTTATTGTGGAAACACAAACACATTTGACAACATGCAGAAACAACTACATTATGCCATTTATTATCAAGCACAAAGACAGGGGAAGGACAAAGGAAGTGCAATGACCACAAAACGTATAACACTTGCACACCTACAAATGGTGTGTGTTCACAGACACACACACGCAAAACAAAGATTGTATGAACAGAATTTCAAAACTAAACACAGACATGTCACACTCATACAAACATGAACACAAACACACAACACATATGGACACAAACATTGTGGACACTCAAATACAAGACATGGCAACCAAAGCACAAAGTCAGAAATGCTAAATAAAAGAAACACGTCCATCTAAAAGTATAGAAATACACAAGTATAAACACGCACCAACATTTTACGCATCATCATAAACAACCTTCATAATGCAAACATAACATTGGACACATCCGATTTTGTAAACAGGCGAACACTTTATGATAAACACACTAACAGAAAGACAGAAATGGTCATTTCAACACAGTGTTATACACACAGGCAATCACAACTTTGTCACTAAACTCAACATAAAATTACAGAAACACAGAATTACAGAAACATAGGGATATATTCTTGGGTTTTGGCCTTTTAGTTGGACATATTAAGACATTTGAGGATGACACGCTGGGCTCTGGGACTTTGTGATGGATATTCTTCACTATTCTCCAACCAACCAAATAATGAATTGAAAATATGTTGAACATTTTTTCTTTCTTGATGCAAGTTTTGTTCGTTTTAAACTCGAGTTGTGCAAAAGTGGACCATTGTATCAGATTGTTCACAGTTAAATGATAACTAAATGCTGACACACACAATGTTAGTTCTCTACAACAATAGCATGCAGTGTGTGAGAGCATCTGTACGTGTTTTCCCTTTACATTCGGCCATAAACAAATGTTGTATTGTTGTTCAGACTCAGAGTGAAGAGGCTCGACGCACTGGTTCTTGTATCTTTGTTTAGGCTTACTGTGTGTGCGCGTTACTGCGGGTGCACTCTCTGCATGTGTGCACGTGTACACATGTGCATATGTGCACGTGTGCGCCCTCTGAGGGAGAAAAAAAAGGGGAAGAAAAAAAGAGAGAGGTCAGGTTTCTATCCCATGATGCAACTGTTCTATTCCCCCCCCCCCCCCCCCCCCCCCCCCCACAACCCCTCCTTCTTCTCCAAGCTGGTTGCCCATGGCAACGTACTTATAATGAGGTCAGATGGACATCCAATAATATTCACCAGCCAAACTAGCAAGCTGCAGAGTGAGGCGTGTTGGGACAGACAGCAGTCAAAGTGTCAGAGGCTGAATCAGCAGTAAGACAAGATGGCCGCCAAATAAATACAATAAGTTGGCTCTGATTCGTCAAGTCACACAGAGTGCTGAAACTGAGCTGGAATCAGTTAACTCACTGTGGTGCTTACCTTTGTTTACCTGGAAGACGTCCAAGAGGTTTGACTTTAATGGTTAAGTCTCAGTATTGAAACACAAATAAGAACTGCATTTAAAAGTTATGATAAGGAAATGACCTTAATTCCAATCAAATGGAAAAGAGCAAACATGAAATCTTAGTCAGTTAAGGTACAAAGTAACATTTCAAACATTGAGGTAGAGGGTTTACATGTTAAACATCTTTTTGTTTCAGAAAGTTTTGGTTTGCAAGTTGTAACAGACAAAGAACTGGCTTTTGTTGGTTCCTGATGTGTTGCATGCTGCGGTGAAGTAATTACTATAACTATTACTCACGTAAAAGTACAATAAAACACAATTAAAACGCTCTGTGACAAGTTCAACATTTGACTTTAATGGTGACTTTAAACTGTGTTCACATGTATGGGCAGCTTAATCTAAACAATGTCTTGTATTTTTTGAAATGACATGTTTAGGGATGAAATGTTTCATCTGAAATGCATCTAAGGTAACTCAAATAAAAGTGGAACAAAAGGTAAACTACTTGACTCTGAATTGCAATTTAAAATAAATTTAAAGTTGCATTTAATGGTGTAGTACATTTAGAATTGTACTTATAGCCTAAAGCATCTGGGTAAAGTTAGTTAACTTTTCACCACCGGTCACATTATACTCTCTGTTTTTATGGCCCCAGACTGTGGAACAGCCTCCCATTGGATCTTTTAACAGCAAACTCCATTGCAAGTAAATGAAAGACATATCTTTTTAATGTAGCTTTTAATTTGGGGTAATTTTTAGTGGTATCACTGTTCATCTTTTATGGTTCTGTGATATAACTCTTTCTGTTAGTTTATAACCTGTTTTTAATGATGTTCCTCGCTCTTTATTTGGTATCTGTTCTTACTCTGTAAAGCACTTTGGGCTGCATCTTGCATGAAAGGTGCTCTATAAATACAGTTCACTGTTATTATACATTAGAGAAGAAACTAGTAATACATTCAAATGGTAAAATAGAGTTTTGGGAATAATTAAAATACGTGATTTAAACACATCACAAGCTCCTTGTCTCCTCAGTCTGTGAAATGATAGTCATGCCATGAATCAAATGATGTCAGTTTAAATCTCAGATATGCTGACATGACAACTTTGTATATGCAAACCAACTCAAATACAGACTTAAAACTAAAGATTATAGTAATTTTCTTTAATTGCACAACTAATTGTTTTACGAAAAAAGTTCTGTAAATGGCTTTTCAGCTTGAACCCATAAACTGTTCTGTTTTGCATCCCAGAAAACGCTCTGACAGGTTAGTGTCATTAAGGTCAATATCTTCTTCTAAGAACTCATATTTAGAGTCAGACAAAGGCTGTATCACTTCTATTGAATTACAGACGACTTAATAAGACTCAATATCTTAACAATATGACAGGAAACTAATTGTTATACTATCAAATTAGAGGGATTGAATATCTTCAATCAAAATGATGTATATGGCAGTGGAAAAGGGATTTGAAACAACATTTAAACCACAATGATTTATAGAAATATAGTTATCATAGGTTTTGTATGTAATGAACTGACCATGTTAAATGACCTTTAGGGGTAAAAATGGTTCATCAGTTGGAGGGAACCTGCCATATTGTTTGCCTTTAGGATACCCACAGTGCCACAGGCATGTACCCATATTAGCACACAGCACTCCCGGTGTGAAGTTCAGATAAGAAGACAGTGTTGCAACAATGAGCAGCACTGTTGTAAGAAGCTGTTGTGAAATGAAGGTGACTGAAACGTGGAGAGGACCTTAGGCTAAGACATTGAGGGGGAGAGAGAGGGATGATGGGAAAAGGGTGCATGATAGAGGAAGACTCCTGTGAGAATGATAGTTAAATGTGTTCTTTTCAAGGCTCCTTCATGTAACTGCCGACCGTGAGACAAAGGATGGAGTCTCTGAGCCTCCATGCCACGTCAGTCTGAAGGATCCATTTTAGTCTGCCAATCAAAATGAACCCAGGTCATTTACATACTGTATTCACTGACGGCTGACTCAAACCCGGGGGCACAGCGCCCCCCAGTGGTCACTGTAAGATACTGCCTGACCCAATGTCAGTCAGAATCAAGGTTATTAACAAGAAGGTTTTCAAATACATTTGTTTTGCTGTGTTGGTGCATGAAAAATAAACATAATTAATTTATAAAAAAATCTACAAATAAAAATAATTTTAAGAAGTATGTACGAAGTGACCGCTTGTAAGAAAGAGCAGAGAAAACAGACTGTATGGAGTCAAATGAATACTCGTGCACTAAAATATAATCAGCTAAGTACTAACCATTTATGCGTGCTTCATGTATTGTTTGAACTACTTATAAAGTGGGAAGTTTAGGCCATTAGGGAAAAAAAGGATATTTAAATAACATTTTGTTATAATACAATGTATACCGTATATACCCTATTGTCCATTCTACGATTTTTAACATGGATTAATGAATGCTCATGGCTCAATTTTGAACTTTTAAGAATGATGTCAATTAAGAGAGAAAAAGTGCAATATTGAAGGTTAAAATTAAGACGTTTTAATCAAGCGACTTAAAGCAAAGACGTCACTTTTTAACAGATACACATGCATGATCACATGTCAGAGCAGGAGCAGCCAACCAGACACATCTTTACACATTCTTAGGGTGCTGCAAAGATTTTTTATTTTACAATACATGTCAGTAATATCTTGAGTATTAATCATTCGGTTTATAACAGAAAATGACATTACTCGATTATTTACTAAAATGACATTACTGTGTGATGCCTATGTGCTAAAGTGAATCTCTATTTACTGTTACAATCTATGTGAACCAACAGTATGCCCTTCACCTTCTGTGGAACACCGACCATCCTGATACTGCTGTCAGAATGCTCCTTTCATATCACCAGGTGCAAGCCCCCCCATTTCTCCCTCTTCTGTTTAAATATGCAACGCAAACTCTTTGACTCTGCAGACAGTGATGCTCTCTGTATGTTTATTTATAATATGAAAAAAGACAAATAAGGATCAAACAATAGGAGATAGGAGAATAGAGAGAAACAAAAAAAAACAAGACGGAGGAGAAATATGAATATGAAATATCTGGATGGGAGTTTCACATATAGCTTCAATTCAAATGGAAAGAGTCAAAACACAATAGTTTTATGCATTTATGTCCTTAATAACTTATCCTTGGGAGATTCATTTCCCAGCATATATTATTAAAAGAATACACAATTTAAGACTTCCCATTTTTCAAAAGATTAATTAAAAAAAATCTGCATTTCTGCTGTTTTATTCAAAATAAACTAAAAAGTGCAGATAATAAAACAACAGGAAAGGTTGGAGAAGGAAAAAGTGTCTTAAATGTGAATTATATCAAATAAAATCGAGTCAAGGTGAAACAACATTCAAGTACTGTTTTTATTATTTCCAAACACCCACCACTTCTAACATTCATCTTCTTATACAGAGCACTTATCTGTAAATATTGCTTCAGCTGTTTTCTCCTGCCACTAGAAGCTTATCATGAGAGTTGTTTAGTTTGTGATACTCACTCAAACTGTTGGCACTCAACCGTCAAGTAAAAATATCTAAAAGGAAAAGAAATAAAAACCTCAAATGTCCAAAAAACAGCTAAAATAATGTTCCCCAAGAAACAATAAGGAGCAAAGGAAATTATATATATATATATAATACTTGTAATCATCCATACATTATCAGAATAAACTGTCATCTCCAAAATAGTGGAAAAAATATAAGCAAAGTGGAATTATAGTTAATTTTTATAAGGAAATCTTCTCAGTTTAAAGATTTTGGTTATTATTTGGCCGTGGTTAATCAGTATTGAAGAGCTTAAAAAAGTATACCAAAACACGACATAACATCAGTTATTCCAGATCCTTAGCTAATTAACTCGTTTAGTACTTATAATTTAGCTTCATAACACAAAGGTAAAAACGCCCAAACAGGTTGCCTGCTTAAAGATGCCTGATGGTATAACTGATGATATTATAAGCTAAGTCTAACTTATCCTATTTTAGGCTCCAGTGGAGATTTCTTGATGCCCAAAGAAACAACACAAACCTTTAAACTGAGCGGTATTCCCCTTTAAGGCCTCTAGGAGGTGCTAACACGCCAAACGAACGAGGAGAGCGAAGCAGGAGCGAACAATACGAGGAGGTCACGAGTGAAATGTTTTGCTCATTAGTCACATCTACTATCCACAGCATAAGGCGAGTTAGGATTCCATTAACCAGTTCATCAACAGGTTAGGTTACTGTTTAATGTGTCACAAATGAAATAGCCTGCTAAAGAAGAAGGGCTGGTTGGTGTTACTAGATTTCCAAAGACAAAACAACTGACACAAAAATATGACTTTTTAGGATCCTAAGCAATAAGGCAGAAACGTTTTTGAGAACGAAATTACAAATGTTAAGGCATTACTACTCAAAGTTTCAGTATACACACACAATTGAATACATGAGGTGAATTCTGGCATTGGTGCTGCAGTTAAATTAAGGCCTTCTTTTTTGTGTGCAACATTTGTATTAGATGATGTCTTGATAGGACTCTAATTGAGATGGCTGTTTGGCAAATGTTTCATGGACTTATATCTCATAAATGTATCTAAGTGTCACAACAGACAGAGGCCGACACTCTTCTCTGTTTCTTTTGCATTAAACATGCTATTGGTTTATTTGGGATGGGGTCTACATGTAACACCTTAAATACTTGATATCAGGTGGTATGCAGTTTTAAAGAGTTACAGCCAAACATAATGACTCCCCTGTGACGGTGGAGTGTGAGGATGTCCACAGTGAGACGGCAGGAGAGAAAAGGCAATGTTTGCTGAACACTAACACGTTTCTGTCAGGTGACCACCCTGTGCCTTGAAATGTGTCTCATGAAACCTACCAACCAACCTACTCATGTTCCAACTGAAAGATTTGATTTGTTTTCCTCAATCACGTTTTTCTTAAGGATGTGCAAGTTCGATCATCGCTCCTGTTGTTGGATTATTGCAGGTGTGCATCATTAACTGCTGTGTGTGTGTGTGTGTGTGTGTGTGTGTGTGTGTGTGTGTGTGTGTGTGTGTGTGTGTGTGCGCGCGCACGCGTTAACATCGTATTTTATACTGCAAAGCCGAAGTCAGTGAAGCTCTACAGAAACTCTAATTAGCCCATCTGAATCTCTTTTATGGATGAAGTCAGGTTACCGTGGCCACTCAAACTGAACCACTAAACACGACGGCAGCTGCAGGGCACGATGCTCACAAACTGGCTTTTTATATCTCTTTCAATAAAAAACGTTGTTTGTAGAAAGTGTTTATTTCTGCTCCATTTTCGCCTCTTCTAATCGTTTTAATCAGACTGTTGGCTGGTAACAAATATCATTAATGCCTCATTGTTTTTTACTACTATTTCTTTGGTGCAAATGCAACCTGCTTTAGACCAAAGAAAGAGATGATATAATGAAAAGGATCATTATTATAACCTCCATTTCAAAGGAATGATGCTAGCCAAACTTAACCAGAAATCTCCATCAATGTAAGAGGGCAGCGCAATCTACGACGGCGTGTACTGACCAAAGACATCTTAAACTTTACAATGTGTGACTTGGGTGAATATCTTTTGATAAACGTCATCATTTTCAGTTGGTGGTTACCAGTTGGAGCTGTAACCGTGACTCCACCCACTGTTTGTATCTTTAAGGCGTGTAACCCTCTCCTCCTATTATTGAAACCTGTTTCCTGGTTAGTGAGGAGTCCACATGTGTTAGTCATATTATAATGGACACGTATCTATGATGAAAAGAAAGCCTCTTCCAACACCACACCCCGCGGTAAGTCACTACGGCTGAAGGCACTGTTTACAAATGACCTCGTCCACTCCCACACCATCCCCCTCCTCTCCGTACTGCCTCCCTCCGTTCCCATCTGGGTTCATCTCTGTCTACCTCCACCTCCACCTCCTCCTCGTCCTCGTCCTCCTGTTGTGGCGTCTATAGCAGGACGCAGCGCTTCTTGGGTTTGTTGTCTGGAGGCTCCAGAGCTGCCAGGATGGCCTCGTCAAACACGTTCTTCAGACCCCTCTGAGAAAAGAGAGAAAAACTCATGAGCTATGTCGGCTAATAAAAAAAAATGAAAAAGGAGACCTGAGGGGTTAGAAACCTTTGAATCATTTTAAAGCACTGACCTCATTCACTAACAACCCTAAAATATGGTGGCCAAAGTACATGTGAAAACTAATACTAATGTAAAAGAAACAGTTCCAAAAAGTCAATTTAACCCAACCTAAAACCATTTTCCTTTACTGTGAATCTTACATAAATATAGTAGACATAAACGGAATAAACATATATCTATCTCTTTATTCAAATTCAATATTTAAATTGACCCACATATTTGCGTTTTTACTGCAACGTCAGACAATGTGAAGCAGCCATCTCACATTTTAAGAGGCAGAAACAAACAGATGTTGGGTATTTGAGCTAAAATGATGTATTCCTTATACCAACTATTACTACAGGGTATCACTATGTATTGGAAAAATGAAATTGTACTACAAACATCCTTGGATTTGAACTGAATGGCAGTGCTGCTTGAAATCCTTTTTTACATCAATTAAAAAAAGTCGGAAATGATATTGTTTGTCCTGACCTGCTGCAGAGCAAATCAATACAATAGAAATCAGTAGGGTGCAAAGTGACCATTTTGTTTACCTATAAACTGAATGCATTGTGGATGTTCATATTGTTTTTCGGCTGATGAGTGATTTCAATCCATCAGCCACTTGCATATCGTCCCAGCAATTGCCTTTTTCCCCCATAATACTTCACAAAAGGTCATTCTCTCTCTCGGGACATGTTATGTGTGGACCAGTTTTAGATGCAGAGGCCTTTCCTCTGTGCGTACCTGTGTGAGAGCTGAACACTCCACGTATTTGACGGCCTTCAGCTCTCGGGCCAGTTTCTCCCCGCTCTCACAGCTCAGGGCTCGCTGTTTGTTCTTGGCCAGTTTCTCCAGAGTGTTGCTGTCGTCTCTCAGATCCACCTGAGTCCCGACCAGCAGGAAGGGGGTCCGCGGGCAGTGGTGGGAGATCTCCGGCACCCACTGTGAAGAGACAACGGACAGAGAAGCATGAGGCATTTCATCTGGGAGTCTTGAATAACACCTCATTCTCAATGTCATGGTTACATTTGTCTTCTCAGAATTAAACTGATATGGTGTTCACATTTCAAAAGGAATTCAAATGTTTTTGTTTAACGTTTTTAGTTAAACATCTTAATTTTCATCCCCCAGTCAGGGAACTTTAACAGCTTTTCTGGAAGTTTATGACCAGATTATTAGTCATTTCACATTTACTAAACACTTCCTAAAGACCTTCGTATACAAACTGCTGTTTTCTTTTAAAGATTCGTTGTTGAAAAAAGTACAACCTCTTTTGTGTGTTTCAATTAAAAGCCCCAACTGACAAAAGCTGACTCTGACTTGACTACACAAACTCACCTTCTCTCTGACATTCTCAAAAGAGGAAGGCGATACTACGGAGAAACAGACGAGGAAGACGTCGGTCTGAGGGTAGCTGAGGGGTCGCAGCCTGTCGTAGTCCTCCTGACCTGCAGAGGGAGAAGCACATACACTCTGATCAACGGCAGGCAGCAAACACAACGTTTAAGATGTAACGGGTGGAGTAGGCTGCAACAGCTGTCAATGAGAGTGGTGCAGGCAGGAGTCCTAGCACTTCTGAGCTTCCTCTTCTTGATGTCAATGGGTTTTTGAATGCGTTAGATGCCTGAAGTATTGTCTTGTGTAGACACAAGCTTATGACATTTTGTACTCCCGTCATAAAAATATGTCAATAAATACCTAACTGGTGAATGTCTGAAGCTTCAATGTATTAAAAATAGCCGTTGCTAAGAAGTGTCCTATTGAGAATACAAAACATCATCATGCCGAAGATTAGACTAGTTAGCTTAAGGTCATGTGACAATGATGTAGTTTGTTTATTTACTGTCAAGATGATCCTGCTGAACAAGATGTGTCAGTATCATATATGCGTGTGTGCCACAGATCTTATTTTCTGCAACAGTTCAAAATCATATGGAAATATCCCATATCTTTTTATCAAGGGACCTTTAAGTTGGTCGGCAGACAGAAATGTGTGATCCCTGCACCACACTATTGTTACTCACGCCGTTTCTGTTTCCTGTCAGTACTATTAATATGAAGTTGAATATACAAACTACATGCAGATGATTTGTTTCACCTGCAGTGTCAAACAGTCCCAGAGTGTACGGCTCGCCGCCGATCATCACCGTCACTGCATAGTTATCAAAAACCTGAGGGGGGGAGAGGGAGCACAAAGGAAGGAAGTACACATGTGAAAAAGGCATATGATCTTTCAATCAAAACAGGAAGTACACTTCTCATCTTTAAGAGGCTTAAGAGTGTCCAACAAAAGAGACACATATATTGTATGCTAGTCAGACATACCCTAGCCCCTAACCCTAATTCTAAGAGTAAACAACCCTTTGAAGAAGTGAAGACCAGACACAATGTCTTCACTTTCCAAGTCCTCTTCCGTCAAGAGTGTGAAACTCATACTGGTCCTCACAAATATAGAAGTACATGAGGACACACACACACATCATTGCAGAACTTTAGGTGATTTTAAGAGGATGTTGCTTCTTAGTTTGCTCGTTTCTAGACCAACAGAGTAAACAAGTCAAGAGTCTCTGGCTGGGGAAGCAATGGAAATATGTTCTTTCTAGTCCACAGTTATAATAATGATATAGTTTTCCCACCCTGCACATGTCCAAGGTCAGAGTTCTTAAACAAGAAAGGACATGATGTTTTTGAGGCTGGTTGTTAGTTTTGGTTTGGAGAATGCTCCTACGCTCAGGACCCTCTGATTCATGGTAGTACCAGCTTAAAGGGGCCATAATACGGCTTTGGGGGGTTTTCCTTTCCTGCTGTGTGTTGTCATTTTTTTCTGCATGTAAATGGTGTGCAAAGGCTCAAATCCCAAACTTCCCCCCAGAGGGAGTTTTTCTCTCTTTCTCTGCTATGAGTCATGATACGTTCTGCAAATACAATTGTGTTCTGCAAATACAATTGTGTTCTGCAAATACAATTGTGCATGTAGAGACTTTTCACATAAAAACCAAAACACAATTCAAGAATGTGTAATCCCTACAAAGATGTGGAAACTGCAAGTCATAGACCTTGGCTTAGACTCTGTTCGAGCACTTTCCGCTTTAAATGTGCAATGAAAAAAAGAGCAAACATTGAGATTGAAAACCTTTAACACTCTGCTCAGTAGTAGTTCAGTGATAGCCTGTTGCCATTTTATTTTACTGCATTCATTCAGCAATATCTTTTAATGCAAGTTTCGAGTCGCTGCAACAGCAGTTTCTAGGATCAGTTAACTTATCTGGTTTGCAGGTTTCATACCTGGAAATGAAATCATGCAAAGAAAGCAATACATTCCTGCAATCTGTGACGATGAGTCCATTAGAAATACATTTCGTCATAGATCGTTGTCAGAGGTTATTCCTGGAAGACAAAGCTGAATTTCCGTCGCTCAGATATGAAAATGATGCATTGATTCACTCAAATTATTTTTGCATATCAAACTCTTCTTGGCGTGTTTTTTTTTTTTGGAAGGATCTGTCAGAATGTTTGTATTTCTTTGGCAGAGAATTGTCTCTTGTTGTATGTGAGGGACTGCGAATGGAAATGAGCTCAAAGCTCAAATCCGGCATATTTACACTTGACACATTATTTGCTTTAAGTGTTCATTAATGTGCATTGTCCCTGTTCAAATAAACGATTAAATGAAATCACCATTTTGGCATATGATGCATTCCACATATATAATGACTCCTGCGAGTTGTATCTTGTACCTGTCCATATTGTGATTCTGATTCATTGTTTGATCACATTTGACTGGAAGTGGGCATCAACTGTTTATTGCAATCATTTGAAGTGGATGTAAGCATCAATACTATCTTCATGAATGAATGCTAAGAAACTGTAACTTGAAATCATGTGAAAAGTAACAGAAACTAGCCACATGCTACCAGTAAAGGGAGTTCTGTTTTGAGGCTGTTCAGGTGAACCCACTCTCTGTCATCGCTTCTCCCTCCTGTTGCATCACTCTCATACCTTCAGGCTGCTTGCCATGAAAAATAGAAGCAGCACGGTCCCAACATGCCTGCCAACCTCAGCTCTGAGTGGAGGTGAGCTGCAGCAGGGAGTGCTTTATAGCCGCCACGCCTGCTGCCTACAGAACACGGCTTCAACACGTCGAGCTGCTGCAGACATCGCTTAGTTTGAATGAAGCTCCGTATGCTAGGTGTACTGCTGCAACTGTTTAGTCTTTATTTATACAGGCAGGCTGACAGCGGGGGACTATAAAGGATTTTTACTCTCCTACATCTACGGCTGAGTGGAATATGTCACCATGGTATCAGGCAATAAAAACCTTCAGTGATTTTTATTTAGCGAATATCATTTTTGAGAACTCAGAAGAAAATGAGAACACATTATTAAAAAATATATATACAGCATATATGGCCAGTGCAGTACAGTTTTAAAGAACTGTAGTGAGACAGGTCAATCGTTCCTGCTAAGCTATGAAGGAAACATCTAGCATCAACGTGCATACACATATCAAAAAGCAACAAAAATCACATTTACATTTTAATGACACAGACTAGATTAAAATGCATTTATTTTGTTAACTTAACATTAAATAAATTGACTTGATTTAACAAAAGCTTGCACAGATATGACTTTTAAACTAAATTAAACTGATCTGAAAGTATATTAATATATAAAATGTATCTTTAGCTGTTCTGACAATTTAAAAAAAACAAGCATATTTTCCTATTCATTTATTTTAATTATTACTTATTTTTGTAGTAGTAGTAGTATAATCTTGTAGGAGTTAATTTATGTCTAGCAACACTGATAAGATGAACTTATATATTTACATTTAGAACTGTTCAGAGTAGAGCAGAGGATTGATGCGATTTTGATCAGTGCAAATTAAAAAACAATTTTCCCCTGAGATATTTATCTTTCAAAATTGCAGTCTCTCTCTCTCTGGTTCATTTCCTGTTGGAGAACCAAAACACATACAAAACAGACAAAAAGGAAGTGGCTGTCTGAGGCCTTTCTGAACCCTAAATGATGAAGGTTTTTTGAGTTGTTTCTCATGGTAATAGTTTGTTGTGTTACTTGTTAGTGTTAGAATTGGTCGTTCTGTAAAAGGCTCCTTGACTTGACGAGTCAACTTCACACACACTTGAACACACACACGCACACACAGAGGTGCATTTCTAGAGATTTCAAGTTAAGACAGAAACACTGAGTGATGACGAGCCATAAAGACACACACAGACATATTTCAATAAAATACAAAGTACACACACATTTGTGATGATAATGTGCTTGGACAGGGCTCAGACTGCAGAAGCTGCTAGAAACAAGCTGATCACCACACACTGGTACAGTAGGACAAAACTGCAGCTACATGGAGAAGCGCTTGTGTTATTTGGTGTTACAATAACTTCCCTGTATGACTGATTTACATTCTGCTTACTCATTCTGCAACACTTGGTGTATTTACATCTTATACAGGACGTGAATGTATCTCTCCAGATAAAACGTTACAGAAGGCGACATGTTTTCTGAGGGATTATTTCCTGGAGGAGACTTCCTCTCTCCTGATTTTTCTTTATTGTTGTCTTTGTCGGCTGACTAGCAGGAAACCGCACAACATGTTGCAGCACTCGTGAACATGCTCAACCCAAACAATGAAAACAGAGAGTCGGCAGTGTTGGATCTCATACCGAATGTGAAAGAGAAAAACAAACAGTAGCAGATGCTCAAAGTAGTATCACTATTATTTAAACAATACCATTTTATTATTGAAATACTATTATTAGACCATCACCACATTATTCTCAACATATTACCACTTTTCTAACGAAATATTTCTATACCGACTGCAAGTTGGCTCTCCATTTAATATCTCTGGCTTTGTTTGGATTCGTGCATATCAGTTAATAAGTACTTTGATTTAGATATATTTACAATATCACATAAACGTATATGGATATTATGACAAAGTAACATTACGACATATATCATATTTTCTCCAATTGCCCACCACAGTAGGTTGCTTAATATGTAAGCAACTTTCTTTATGCAAAGATATATATATTGCGTTGTTTGAAATGATGTGATGGGGGGGGGGGGCTGTGTGAGAGACAGGAAGAGGACGATAGAGCTGAGTCAGCACTGTTGCTTCTGCAATCCTCTGATCAAACTGTGCTGACTGCGGACAGAGGGAGAGATGGGGTGCCCATAGAAAACAGTAGAGAATTACTCAACAAATTCCAGCCGGCACTCGTGGGAGCTGCCCGTCAATTAGGGGCGTTTACGATATTTCCAGCAGGACAGTCCTGCCTGTCAACAGTCAGTCAGCTGTTTTCTAAAACGTCAGAGTTTGCAGGATCAGTGGAGCTGAGGGGACAGTCTCTGGACCTCCGTTTCTATCTGCAGAGCCTGAGAGGCAACTTCCTGCTCCAGCAGACCCCAGAGAATCTCAAATATGTTAACTTGCAGCTACATGAAAATAAGCAAGTGCACACATATAGCTCTGCACACACAAACACAAACAGAGGAGCGCAATCCTTAGAATCCTAAGAAAAAGAGCAGCAAGCCATCTCCAACCTACAGTTCCAAAAACAACTTGTTTTGTTCAAACTGCTGCATTTCCTTAATGCATAAGATCTAACGAGCGTGTTACCAACATCAAACACTAATATCATGTCATATTAAAGAAATAGTTTGACGCCATAGGAAATCATTTTTAGCAAGTTAGCAAGGATTTGGCTAGCCAGGTTAGCTTGTTCCCCCCGTTCAAGTTGTTATGCTAAGCTAACCATCTCTTGGCTGTAGCTTCACAGGAGGCATGGTGACAATCTTCTGAAATGTAACTTGTTGCAAAAACGTGAATAAACACATTTCCATGAATTTTAAACTCTTGACAGTTAAAAGTTTAAAGTTTATTACATACTGAGTTTTACTTTTGTAATGTTGGCAATGATTCCTAACAATGATTATAAGATTAGAGATCAGGGATCCATAATCTAGACAGCAGCTTTGCAAGAATAAATTAAATCAGTCGGGCAATTAAACAGATTGTAAGCAAGCAAGCAGTTTAACCACATTATTTTAAATGTTGTTTTTTTAAAGTAAAACCAATAGTGGCTAAACCCTTATTGAATGGGAATACTTTGAAGTGTCTGTATTGTGATTCTTCTTTGACTACCATGTTGATATCATTGCAAACAGCAACCGTCCTTCTTTAGTCTGTTTAATGGAAACAACGTGTCAACAGGTCTGACAGTAGAGAGCTACAGGCGCTGTGATAGTGAAGAACAGACTTAAGTGTCAGTTGATGAGTTAGTGTGTAAAAGTGACTCACTGTTGGGACGTATTCAGAGGGAAACTTGTTGGTGGTGTAGGAGATAAGCAGGCAAGTCTTTCCCACCGCACCATCACCCACCACCACACACTTTATGGTCTGCATCTGAGGAGGAGGAAGCAGACAGGAAGTGAAGGAGAGAAGCGACAGGTGGGGGGGGCAGAGAAAGCCTTCTGTTGATTGAAGAGCCAAGGAAAGACTTCTTACTCTTCTATTAAAAAAATGCAATATTAAAACTTGTAAACATACTGGTGTATTTGTGTCATTGTAATTAAATAGACAAACACTAATTAATCTGAATGGACAGCTTGACAAATAACATTTATTATTATTCAGTTACACATCTGGACACATGTTATATTCTGATATTTTAGGTTTCTGTAAACACCTTTTGACAACATGATAAAACTATTTGTATTCAAATAAGTACCCTGAATCTTTGGATCTACAGAGCAAATGTGATCAAATTGGTGCTTTTCCTCAGACAACAGTAAATGTGGGAAATATGATGTTAGTGGATCCTGGTGCATTAACAGGCCCTGGTATGCGCATGATGATGTCATCACGCCACAGAAGTCTATTGCTCTTAAGACAACTCAATAGTAATAGGCATATGTCCTTTTATTTTACATTAATGTCAAACATCTATAAGAATAATAACTTATTTTTTTTAATAAATTGGACGAGCTCTAGTTGATAATAAAGGAATCATTTGCTGCCATTGGTATAGCCGTACATTTTCTCTTACACATTATTGTTGCCCTGACATTTGATCAAACTGCAGAACCTTGTTTCTTTTAGATGTTGAAAAGTGTATTCTATTATGCATTGTGTCTCCCTCCAAAGCTGTAAAGATCCACAGACCTTAACATCTAAATCCTTAACACTCACAGATTGCATTTACCAACATTAAAAATGTCACATGCAACCTAAAAAATGATTTGTTGTTTTAAGATTTAGGCCTTTAGAATCACTCCATTTGAACATGCATACTAAAGTACAGCTAGAAATGATCAAACGACAGCTAAATGACAGTATATTAACTAAACAGCCAAAAATCCCCTTCTTCATGCTCCTTAATATATGAATACCCACTAGTTTAAGAAGATATTTCTGTATCTAGACTCTTGGTCAGGTAAGAGGTCAAATGTGAGGATTTGTCTACTTGGGAACTGTAAAACTGTGACTTGTTTTCTTGTCTCGAAGGTGTAGCTGCATGTAAACAACCTGCATTAGCCTGTATCAGGTTGACTGGGATGCCATGAGCCGGCGTCCGTAAGCAGAAGCAGTGATACAGAAACAGAGGTAGCTGTGTATCGCAGTGTTTATTACACACTGTTGGAGATCCTGTGACCAAGCAGACGCTGAGCCGCTCGCATACCCAGGCTGGCGCTTCATTAGGGGGGACAATGGTAAAGGGGTATGCGCTGCCACTTCATCACTGGCTCTTTGTTTGGGCCTTTTGGCCGTGGCAGCACTCCGCTGAACTCTGATGAGTCAGGACCAACTTAACTGGTCATCTGCAGAACCCATTCCTCTGAGATGTGTGTGCAAACACAAGCAGACAGTTCTGGAAAACGTAGCCAAAAGGGGTCAAAGGTATTTTGAATGCACTATTGTTTCGTCTACATGTCTGCATCAAGCTGGTTCTGTTTTGGAGATGCAACAAGATCACTTTAAAACCACTTCTCTTTAACTCTATGCAGTTTCATGCTCATCAGAACCTATTGACTCTAGAGGATTACTGCTGAAAACAAAGGTGACAAATGTCATTGTCAAAAGACAACATTTATGACTATCCTTCCTAGTAATTAAATATGAGGGTCAAATATTTAACGTCTTCAGCTCATCAAATGTCAGGGTATGCTGAATTTTTCTATCTAATTTTCATTTGTATATTTGAGTTTCGGACTGTTTGTTGCATAAAATAACACAATCCAAAATGTTATCTTGTTTTCAGCAAACTGTTATACACTACGCAATTAATCATAAAAGAACTATGCACATTAATATTCACAACAATTGTAATCACGTTTTAAAAATAGGATTATTTTACTCGATCAACCTTAGGATGTGGGTGTGTGTACATCTGTATGTATAATCTTAATTCAAAACAATTCTAAAAATATATATTTTTCTTATTTAAGTATTATTTATTTAGATTTGCATGTGTGAGCTCTTGCCCCATAGACTTTACATTATCTGGTTGCAGCTCTCCTTAATCTGAGGATTTATTATTTAAAAAGGCTATTTTGGTTGTGGGAAATTAATCTTTATAACGAATAATCAGCCCAAAAAATATACATTGCATGCATCTATATTTCTACTGTAAGACATCAAGATGTGCAGGCACTAAAAAAACATTTTCTAAAGGTTAAAGAATATGCATCTTAAAAATAAATGCATATGTTGTATAAAGTTAGCAATTAGGCAAATATCATAATAATACAAAATAAAAATCTTGTCAGATATTTGTATTTGTCTTTCTTTATCTTTTCTGTGAGGTTGTATTGTAATGTCATTATACTGTCGTGTTTGTTATGTTATGTTGTTGTTACCTGTTTAAAAACATATTTGAGATAATTGCTGATTCATTTTTCTGTTACTCAACTTCAACTCGAACTAATGTTAAGCTGAAGATATCCATTAGCCAAACTCAAACGGCTTAAATCGATTTAATTAGAACTTTTTTTTAGCTATAAATGATGTGACATCCCTCTCATTTCAATCATGTTTTACTGCTTTTCAGTCACTTCCGCATAGAAAACAGTGGTAAAAACGTAAAGAAAATCGAATTAGTGTCTTTATCCTAGGATATTAGTTTATTTGTATGGAGCTAAAGTTATGAAATGGTGATGTTACTACTTGTTGACTTCATTAAAAAAGGTCACTAAGTGTTGAAAAGTTTACTCTTGCGAAGCTAGCCTACGTTAGCAAAGTTGGGTTCGTGGCTAACGTAAAAGTTACATCCGCCGGTCCCCCACCCATAACAGAAAAGCCTGTTTTAAACGAGTTTCCCATGAAAATAACGAGAGCACTATTCAGGGGCTTGACGTGTATTTTGTCATGAATACGCAGTCCTATCATTTCTCAGGTTTGACCACACCGGTAACTTTTCTAGCAGAGATTTAATTTAACAGCACAAGCTAGCAGAGTTAGCTAGCAGAGTTAGCAAGCATTAAAGGCAATCGTTTGTTTTGACAGCTGTCTGTTAGCCGAGTGAGCTGTCAGCAGGCTAACAGTGACAGCTTTTACAATAAAAATACTCATTTTTACTTAAATTGGTGTCTTTCTGCTAATAATTTGAAATAGTTGGTTAGTAAATCACAGTTAAAGAAGGTGACAGCCACTACCTTGTTTCTTCTCACCGCTGGAGTGCTGTAATGTTGTGCTACGTTCAGGTGCTTCCCGTAAACTCCCACTTCCCCCGGCGCGAAAGCCGGAAATATGGCTTGTGGTATATTCAGGTCCCGCTGGAATTACCAACGTTAATATTATTTTTGTTTCCGCAATGTATTGTTTGGTTACCTCAATCTTTTCTCCTTCTACTGTGACCCTTAGGTCTAATTATGGTTATTTTTGATATGTTAAGGTGAACAATTCCCAACGTATTTGTTTAAATAATTTAAATGTTTTCAATGTCTATTTGACTTCACCTTTATTTAATTGCTAACACACTGAAATGACACATAAGGCACGATTACTGAAAATGACACCAGAGGACCTCAGCTCAGATATTCACAACTATAAACACATTCACAGCCTCACACCTTTTGCAAAATACACATTAGACTCATATGTCAAACATGATGTAACTTATTGGCTTTTTCAAGGCACATTTAAAGAGTGGTATTTGACACGATATAAATAACAAATGACTCTCCTTGCCTTTCAAACTACATTACTATGAACCAATTAACTTAACAAAACATACTTAAATTAATTGTAAAGTCACTTTCATTAGGCGTGAGCACTTTAAAAAGGCAAAAGGTGAGTGTGCCGCTTTTTTTGTATCTCTACAAATGATGTTGTTGTTTTTAAGGTTTAGGCCTACATATTATACAGAATATGTATTTTCGGATTTTCAGGGCATATTACTACTTTTATTTTGTATGAAGTATTTCATTTTACTAAGTGTTCTGCTACTTGTGTGTTTGGAGGTGTGAATTGCGTGAGTTTTGTGTCATGTTTTGACAAATAGGCTTAAGCAATCACAAAAAATTGTACAAGTGTTAAACCCTGGAGATAATTCAAACACTCCCTGAAGGCAGCAGGGCTTGTCAATTCATTGGGTTCCTTTAAAATGTAAAGGTATTCTTTAATATGTGTGATTTACTGTATTGTAAAGTGTAACTTCCATTGACAGAATAATAATCATTATAAATGTAAACATGTTAAACTCGTAACTCAGTGTCTATTGAGGTCAACTGAAAGATGGGTTGTTTCTCAGACACCAGCAGAGGGAGATGAAGTGCAGCCCAGTTGGTGTTTTTAGGGTTATGCATTGCTAACAGTGAAGAGCAATTTTAGCACAGGCTAAGGGCAGTTAAATTTAATGTATTTGCTATGCGCCCGTTCTCTTATTTCAGGCATTTCCGTATATTGTCAACTGCAGGTATGTATGCACAAAGTAAACAGGCTTTATGTGTAATTGTACTGTATGCATCAACTCTATACACCCATTATGATTTTACACATGAATATACCTTTTGGCTAACCAATATGATACACGGTATGCATTTCAATTAAGATGAGCTAATGAGTAATGCAGGCTAAACAGGTCGAACATGTGAGTTTAAAAATAGGTTTACCTGCATTCCTGTGGGTGAATGTGTGGAAACATGATGATTCACTTAGTTCTGACCCACAATGTGGCACGTGCATTTATCAAGATCCACTTACCAGAAAGAAGATTTTGGATGAGAGCACCAGAGATGTGGACGAGTTGGTCTTAAAAGCCCCAAAAAGTAAAGACATTGAGACATGATTCACTTAAGAATTAACTTTGGAGATAAAAGCATCATTTATGTTATGTCCATGCATGCATGCAGGCTGAATTGATGTGCCTCATCATTTTTGTAATCCTGCCATTATTAAGTAATTCTAACAATGACAGATTGAAATATCATCTGAACATAGCATCTGGTATGTTGTATTAAGATAAGTGAATAAGAGATATCATCTTTTGAGTTTCTCTGTTGGCTAAAATAAAAAAGTGAGTAGGCTATTAAGCGTGGGTAGCGATAGACAGAGTTCATCAACAAGAAATGAATCGGTAATATGAGAGGCAGGGACAAACTAATAAGGGCTTTCTGCATTATGTCTTCAATATCTTTTAGTTTTGGCCCTTCTGGCAGGCAGTGGTGTGGAGAGGAGCACGCTGAGGCAAAGGCCAGTCGACCTTCAGTGGTAACGCAGTAGAAAATGAGATCATTACAATGCAAGGCACTTCTCCATTACACTTTCCCTCCGGAAGTCTTCTCTCTTTTCTCTCACTTCACAAGCATTTCATCACACTTTGATCTCTACTCTGTGCTTTTATTTCCTCTTCCCTTTGTTGTTGCCTCCTGGTTTTATCTCTTCTTGCTCGCCTCTTCTTCATCTTGCTCTCTCTCTTTTTTAAATATACTGTATTTATGTGTGAGTGTCTCTATCAGTCGCTCACCCGTGGCTAACCGGGGGGATGGATGTCAAGGACGTGGTGCTGCTTGTCTCCCAACGATAATCCCATTAAACTCAGGAATTTAATTATAGATTATCTCACAAGCTCACACTCACACACAAACACGTGCTTACAGGTGCATGTTGCACCTGCCTGTGCGCAGAAACCCAGATTAATACACACAAATACAGAAACTATGATCTAGATAGCACATTTGTATCATACACTATCACAAAAAAAACATCAACGCACACACTGAACACACTTTGGCTTCACCCTGGTGCCCCGTCAGTGTGTATCAGTGTCACCCTCCAGACGGCATTAACAACTTCCCCAGTCTGTTTTTAGAGCAGGAAGGACGCAGCCCAACACGGATTTGCAATGGACGAAGGAAGTGGAACAAATAGCCACCACTGCACTGTAGCTGCCACACAGGATGAATGTGCAGGAATATTTGAGAGACTCTAACAACAGTTTTATTACACCTGATATCTGTTTTACATTTCCTATATTGCATGTTCCTAGTTTTTTACGATAACATTTTGTACATTGGTCAATAATAAAGACACTTCAAAACTCATACAGTATGTATTATCCACAGGCATTTTGGCTGAACAGTTACATTTCCCCTGCAAAACCACAAAAACACTTCATGCATGTTTTAAAATGAGCTTTTTCTACCATATGCTTTATCTATTCTAAATTAGAAAGCAATCATTGTCCCTATTAACACACTTACTATGAATAACATATTTGTACTCAATGTACCAAAGTATATGTAAAAAGAATATAGATATAGTAACAGGTGTGCATTCAGACTGGTCTCCTAAAAAAATACATTCCCATACAATAAAACTGCATTGCCTTGTTGAATTGTTTGGGGTGCTCAGAACATAGGTATACCATTTTATATTTGGTATGGCCAGGCTTAATATTTCCCACATTTCTCCAGACTTTTATTTAACTACGCTTATCAGGTTCAACTCCAGCTCTATACGTAACAGACAGAGATTGGTGTCAATCTTCTTATCTTACTCTCGAAAGAAACAAATACGAGTATTTCAGAAAATGTAGAACTATTCTTAGAATATATGGATTTGATTGGTTACAAAGGATACTAATTCTCATCTTTCATTTTGGGGTTTTGTGAGCCACCACACACATAGCACACCTCGATCAGATCAACCATTTCCCCTTTCCTGCTTTCAAAGGGATTTCTGCTGCTCCATTGTGTGTGCGTTAAATGCTATCACACACACACAGAGCATCATCATGTCTGAGTGTGGTGGAGAAGGAAGTGATTATGTAACTGTATAGCAACTGAACCCCACTGCAGCACCAGAGAGGAGGACAGGGAGACACAGAGGGAGGGAGGAAGGGAGCCGGTCCTCCCCTTCATCTATTTTTACCTCCTCTGTGGGGCGACGAGCCTCTGCACCCCGTCCTTATCCCTTCATCCCACCCCTTCGTCCATCTCCTCCTTTTTAATTAACCCTCCTCTACTCCTCCTCTTCCTCTCTCCATCTCCCTCTGAGTCATCTCCCCTCCCCTCCCCCCTGTGTCACACATCTCGTCCCCCCCCCTCCTCCTGTTTTCCTCTCCCTCTCTCTTGCTCAGCCTCTCCACTATTCTCTCGGTTGCCGTGAAAGGCAGAACACACACAGGCGGCAGGTAAAGGAAGGAAACCCTCTCTTCCTCTTTTCATACGCTCATGAGGTTTTGTGTTTATCCATCCATTGTCTTTTCCATTTTCTTTTGATCTCATATTGATTGGCTGCTGATTGGTACAGAGAGGATGCAGAATGATGCCGCTTGTGTGTGTGAGAAATGCTTCAGTGTAAGGTGTTACCCTATATGTGTGTGTGTGTGTGTGTGTGTGTGTGTGTGTGTGTGTGTGTGTGTGTGTGTGTGTTTGTGTGTGTGTGTGTGTGTGTGTGTGTGTGTGTGTGTGTGTGTGTGTGTGTGTGAGTGGGTGGTAGTGCTTCATGCATGATCTCTTATTGCATGGGAAATGGCTGTCATGTGTGTGTGTGTGTGTGTGTGTATGTGTGTAAGAAAGACATACCGTATATGTGTGTAGGTGTCAGTTGTAGGTGTTACTGTGTGTGTGAATGTGATTTTGCTTCATGGCTGTCAAATATATGTGTGTGTGCGGGTGAAAGGAGGAAGGAAGTGAATTGTGTGTGTGTGTGTTGGCAGCCCTATACGTGTGCAAGATTGGATCCTGCAGTCCAGTGTGTGTGTGTGTGTGTGTTCTACATGGTTGATGTATTTTACTGTAATTTGGCAAGCTCTGGAAGCTGTATATGTGTGTGTGTGTGTGTGTGTGTGTGTGTGTGTGTGTGTGTGTGTGTGTGCGTGCGTGCGTGTGTGTGTGTGTGTGTGTGTGTGTGTGTGTGTTATTATGTTTCACGCATTCTCTGGAAAACAGTCTGTGTATTTGTATGTTCAAAGCGATAATTTATGTGTTTATCCACTGATGGATTTCTTGTAAAAATGGCTTTCGAGCGTGTGTGCGTTTGTGTGTGTGTGTTCAGGTGTGTTTTGGCCACACTGATATTGTGTGTGTGTGTGTGTGTGTGTGTGTGTGTGTGTGTATGTGTCCTTGTACGTGTTTGATGGGAGCCTTCAGTCAATTATGGTAGAGTCATCCTCGGTATATCAAGTGTATAAGATGGTTGATGTGTGTATGGCTGGCACAGGAGTGTGTGTGTGCGTGTGTGTTTGTGTGTGTGTGTGTGTGAGAGTTTTGGCCAAGGGAAATCTATGTAATATGCTCATGTAGTAAATTATGGTCGAGTCCCTTGTTTGTCAGGTGTGTGTGTTTGATGGTTCATCTTTTTTTAATATAGCCAGCATCGGCATATTTGTGTGTTTGTCAAACCTGAGACGATAGCATTCAGTACATGTGAGTGTATGCTCTGGCAACAGAAACAATGTGTGTGTGTGTGTGTGTGTGTGTGTGTGTGTGTGTGTGTGTGTGTGTGTGTGTGTGTGTGTGTGTGTGTGTGTGCGTGTGTGTGTGTGTGTGTGTGTGTGTGTGTGTGTGTGTGTGTGTGTGTGTGTGTGTGTGTGTGTGTGTGTGTGTGTGTGTGTGTGTGTGGGTGTGAGAGTGAGATCTTGCAGTCAATTATGAGTCCCATGTGTGAGATATTGGTAGCATGGAAGGCACAGAAATGTGTTTATGTGTGAGTGTGTGTGTGCGCGCTTAATATCTGCATCTTTGCCACTCTGTGTGGGTGGATGTAATGTGTGTGTCAGAGTACTTGTAATAATTGCAAGTAAAAAATATGTGTGTATGTGGGTAAATGGGGACACATTATTAGCATTATGCTAGAGACTGCTCCACTGTGTGTGTGTGTGTGTTTGGCATACGTGCGAGACCATCAGCCTTCTGTTCCCCTTCTTACTCTTCATCCTCCTCCTCCTCCCTCTCTTCATCCCCCCATTCCTCCTCTCTTCTCCAGCCAAACAGGGTCATTTAATAATTTATCTCTGCCTCTCCTCTCTCTCTCTCCCTCTCGCCTCTCTTACCCTGCCTTGTTTCCACTCTCCATTTCGTACTCCATTGCTCCTTCCATCTCTTTCTCTCAATTTCAATTTCAGTATGGCTGTTTTGGCACGAATGTCAGGTGAACACTATTGTAACAATTTCTCTCTCTTGGCTCTCCTTCCTCTTGGCCATGTCTCCATGTCTCTCTCATTACAGTCTCTTTTCTTCTTCTGTTATTTTCTTTTCACTCTTCCCTTTCTTCATCTGTGTCTATCCTTTCATTCCCTAACCTTTCTCCTGGTATTTCTCCCTTTCTCACGCCTATGTTTTATTGATTTTCCAATCATGAAATGGTAGACATTTATTCTTACAGATATATATATTTTTAACATAGATTTCGATATAAAGTAAGGACGAGTTGTATCAGACTACCCAACTTCTTCGTCATAGTTAGTGTTTGTCTCCTGGTTGAGCAAGAAATGAACTATGTCATATATCAGAAAATACAAACAGTGCTTTATGTTTACTGACAAAATAATCTTAACAAAAGGTCTTATTATTGGAGTTTGTTCAGTTGTCATTGTTAGTTAGTAGCTGTTGCATTCTGGACCAATTTTGGATAACTTCAGCAACTATGATGCAGCGTTTTTGACCAAACGCTACAAAGGACCCTCATGCATGTGTTTGTGTTGTGCATAGGAGCAGTGATCAGCCATAGCTAACTGACAGAGGAAATACAGTTTAATAAACCAAGAATATTGTTACATGATCCCGGTCAACACTGAGGAAATCAGTAAAAGTATGACATTGAAGTGTACAGTTTAATACTTGTCAAACCAATATGCATTATCTAATGTATTTCAAATGGCACTGTGCTGAGAGAGTTTTGCCATTGGGATTTACAAGAAACATTTGGAAAAACATTGAAATATCGTGAATTATAATGACTTTATCCAGAGAATCAGGTCATTTTAAAACAGAAGATTTTCTGTGTCCCAAGCACAAACGGGAAAAGCTCTGTTTGGTTTAGGCCTTTGCAGGAGGCAAGAAGAGTGCATGACCCAGATGACATCATCTGGGTCATTTTCTTCCAGACTTTAGATAATGATGAATATAATACACCTCATGATTATTAAACTGATCTGCCCCTTTAATCTTAAAGAATACAAATCAATCCGGAGATCAGAGATCCAGCATTTTTATCCAGCATTTCTTCCATTTTGTATCTCTTGCCTGATCATTCGTTTTCTTCCTTGTCCCGTCTTTGCATAGATACTGAAGATATGATGATGATACTCATGTTCTCTCTCCTTGCGTGCCTTCATCCCTCTCTCCCTCATTCACTCTCTCCCTGGCACGACCACTCACGTGTTATTTTTTCAGTGCTGGTATATTTTCTGCTGAGCACTGCAGTCCCTGGTAGGTGTGGTGTGGTGCGTTCATGGGTGTCCTCCCTCTCCCTGCTGCTGCTTTACGTAACCCATAGCACAAACAGCAACGGGTGAGAGACACAGAGAGAAAGGGAGGAAGAGAGAGGAGATAAGAGTTATGAGATGAACTCATGACAGGAGGAATATGTGTTTATGGACATGAGATAAGAACACCTTACTGATGTAGTACATCCATGACTTATGCTCACATTTTGAGAATAAAATCAAAATATTGATAATAAAGAAGAAAAATAATTTCAATAATAAAGCTGAAATGTCTAAAATAAATATTAAATGTTTAAAACTACTTGCGTTAGCAGCAATCCTAATAATTATGCTTTGTTCTCAAAATGTCTACCATATTTCTGAAATGCAAAATAATACAAATATCTTCATCTTTTCCTTATGCCTGGCCCTATATCCTTCGTACAAAACATATGTCCATACAAAAATATCTAATATTATGGACTGGTACATTTATAGCCACACTTATAGCATTGCTCTATGGAAATGTCGACTTGTTGATTTTTTCTCCATGTCGGTCGTAATCGATTTAGCCATGCTTCCACTTGTCTAAAATGTTGACTTTGAACTAATCTTGCATACTAATGACATTCCTATCAGCCTCAGCTGTTATTCTCACTACAACTATTCTAGATGTAAATGGCCATATAAAGGGCATAGATATGATGTGGTATGGCCCGTATAGCTCCTGTGTGGCTCAGTATGGCTTTTGTCATATATTTGTAAGGTGGATAAGGTTTAGGTGGATCACAAGTTTAAAGTGTGAACATTTCTCAACAAGCGTGTAATTTAGTTACAAAAGCTAAAATCCCAGAGTTCACACCCCGTCTGAAATGACTCCATTGGACTCCTTTGTTTACTTATGTAACATAGTGACATCACTGTAACACTTGCGCTTCTTCTGGCTAACAGAACAATGTACGTGATAGGCTAAGGGGCAGGTCATCACTAAGCAGTTGATCACAACAGAGTCAGTCAGCTAACCAATCAGAGCAGACTGGGCTCTGGTTTCAGACAGAGGGTGAAAAGAGATGCTGCAGCACAGGCAGTATGAGAAAAATAAAGACCTTTTTAAACATTACAAACAAATTAAAGCATGTAAACATGTCACAGTAGAGGTACAGAATACAAATATGAACCTTACGTCATGCACACCGATATTTATGTCCAGGTTGTAATCTTGGATGGTCACACACACGCTAACAAAAATGACATTGGGTTAGGAATAACCAACATATTCAATGTCAGAAGTTTGCTTTAATATTTTGAGGATGTATTCGGGAACAAGAAAAAAAACGATGTCAAACATTTGGCAGGCGTCCTGTATCCGGCTGCTCCACCCTCAGGAGGAACTTTGGAAAACTGCAGTACTCTTGGGTGGGGCTTCAAAACAGCAACAAAGAGAGAGGGAGAGAAAGGCCATAAAATAAAAGAAGCCAGTAGTGAAAATCGCACACGCATCAATCCCCTCGACTTTTCAGGTGTGTACGTTTTTGTATGCTGGCGACGATTAAGGCACCTTATCTGCTGTTTCTTATACTCAGCACCATTTATACATTTTACACATTTTGCTGACGCTTTGTCGCCTGCGACTTACAGAGTGTAAGACCTGAATAAGCATAAATGGGTAGGTCGTCGACGTTGTGATCAAGCAACAGTGGGGGGGGAAAGTGGATAGAAATACATCTGAGTTACCTCTGAGGAGTGCTGAGCAAAGGCAAAGGACAGGATGAAAAGACATGAGGAGTAATGGGGTTTTGCGGCAGGTTAAAAGCAACACTCAGTGGAATCTATGTCCCTGAGGGAGAGCAGAAGGGTGATGAGCAAAATAATACATTTGCATAATTTCATGTCTTCAGTAATGTTTAATATAAATAGAATGTGTTTGAGATAAACAGCAGAAGGGGATTATAGGACATAAGACAACAAAAGATCAAAAAGAGAGAGAGAGAGAGCTGTTAAAAACATATGTGGGAATCTTTGTTGTTAATCAGGTTACATACAAGAGATAGAAAACAACAAGAGAAAAAGGAACGATTATATAAGGGAAAGACATACTACACAAGAATAAGACCACCTTTCACTCAATTCAAATTACATAGCAAATATACACCCCACAAAATAATGAAAATACGTGACGTAAAATAAAATACATTATTTTATTTTATAAATTCTTGAGTGAAAACAGAGCCCGAATTTTTATTCCACTACATTTACTATGTACAATTTCAGATTAATAACACAAAATACAGCTAACAAATGAATTATGATATTATTATATCAGTAAGACTGATCCTGAGGTGAAGAAATATTCAAGCCAATAAATTAATTGACATAAAAAAATATGTTTTAAAAGTAGCTCCACATTTACCAGCTGTATTTTTAAGTTATGTATACATTAGTGTTGTGTCTCGTCAAATGTGTTAGTTATGTTTATGTATTATGTCTGTCATTTTCATGTTTTTTCACGTCTGGTCATGTCTGTTTATTTAGGTTCTTCATCTCTAGTCAGTCTCTGGGTGTTTCTCAATCGCGAGTACGCTTGCTTGGTAGCACATGTCTGTCGAGCATCTTGCTTCAGAAGCGAGTCAAGAATACTCCCTGGCATTCGGAAAACGAAGAGTGGAACACGCTAGCAAGTGTGCAGGTGTGCGTCATATGAGAGGCCCCGCCTTACATCTTCCGCCACAGATTTGGGGAAATTGGTCCGTGCGCAAAGCATTGTGGGGATTTTAAGACCGCAGAGTCTACTCATGTGCAGCCTCGATATTTCTCCAAACGGAGTACGCCGGGCTCGGTAGATTTCCAAGTATGCTGGAGATTGGAACAGTACTTCGGCGGCACTCGATGACGTAGTATGCTTGAAATAGTGGCTCTGAAGCAGCTTTACTCGCGATTGAGAAACACCCTCTGTGTTTATTGTCATGTCTCGTTTTCCATTTCCTGTTTTATTTTGTACTTACCTCTTGTCTTTCATTTCAGGCCCTGTTTCTTCCTCCCCTTGATTGTTTCCACCTGTTCCCACTCACCTCATGTTTAAATAGTCCTGTCTCTCCCCTGTCCTGTGTCAGTTCGTCTTGTTTGTTTCCCCGAATGGTCGTGCCAAGCCTCAGCTCAGAAAGGATCGCTTTTCACTCATGTCAGGTTTTGTCTCTTTTGTTAATTTTGTAGGCTTAAGTTTTTCTTAAGTTCTCTTTTTGTTATGCATAGTTTTTTCCTCCTTGTGAGCGCCTTTTGTTATTTCCAGTACCTACTCTGTTAAGAGGGATTACCTGATCTGTGAAATTAAAATTACATTTTTTTACATTCAAGACTTTGTCTCTGGGTCGTGCATTTGGGTTCATCAGTTTGTATCGAGGTCGTGACAATTAGTCCTTAAATATTATATAATATATGATTCTGATATGGTTCATACTGAAATATTTATATTTATATTAATTGTTATGCTTATATGTTTTTACACTTTGGTCCTACCAGAGGAAGCTTCAGTCCTTTCAGCAACTGGGAGTTACAAAAACACTTTATATTCTGGCTTAGTGGCACACGTAATGGAACTGAGCCATCAATGATATATTTAATAATACCTGCACATCTTGCCTATTACTTAAATGTCTGCTGTGAAGAAGTTCTGAATCATTGTACCCTCTAAAATTTAATTTCTCCCCAGATTTGGCTCCAAACTGTCCCCTATCTGTCTCTCTGCTGGCAACGCAGTGTAGTTTTGCAGTGATGAATGCACACTTAAGAGGAAGATGAGAAAATGTGTGTCGACAGGAGTTAACACATCCTCTCTGTCAGTGTCTTTGCAAGGACAGGTTTCTGCGAGATAGCCATGTGCCAGTTTTTGCTCCTCTCAGATCGATAGTATTCATACAGTACGGAGACGAGGACAGCATAAAAGGCTTCTTTTGACATATCGTTGCAGTGCTGCGATTAAAAGAGCAGAGACACCCACAGAGGAGATAAGCTCAGGGATGATAGGGAAATTACAACGAGGATGGAGACTCTAATGTTTGTGAGGTTAGGATTGTGGATGGTATTGATATCACGGTAATACAGGAATTTAGAATGTAACCTTCCTGTGGTCCTCAAGTCAAATTTGACCCCTTTCAAAATGTTTAAAAACAAGAAATATGAGTTAATTACCTAATTACCCCTAACACAAATCAACATGGACGGTTCCATCGCAATCTTGCAAAAACAATGAACAAGGACTTATTTCATTGAATTAATGGTATTTTATTCAAGTTAATAGAATCAATGGTTTGTTATTTAAGCTTTTTTTACTTAAAAAATGAGGTATAAATTCACAGAAATTAGGTCTTTTATCAATACATTCCAATTCAACTTGACTAAGAAGGTGTTACACAGAATTGGGTCATAAGGAACATACTATATGAACTCTAAGCAGTCAAAAGTTGCATTGTCAATGGAAAAACAACACAAACAGAACCAATACATTTTAAATCTACTGAGCAGTTCAGTCTCTCAGCGAGGAGCTAAAGAAAAACAAGTCCTTTCATTAAGTGATTTGAAATGAAAGTGAGATTAGACTGCAAAGTGAAAAGAGTTTGTTTTAGATGTAATTGAATTGCTCTGTAAATTCAATCCATATTGATTTCTGCTTGAGATCACATCTGATCTGAATGTGTCTCACTCTTTGGTACTTTTAAAACATAAACATTGATAGCTAAGATTGTTTGTAGGTCTAAGTGGAAGTGGATTCGTCCAGTAAAGGCTCAATATGCAGATTTTTCCTAAAACATGTATAGTCTATACAGAAATAATCCTTAATCTTCATTTATGACCTACTAAAAGTGTGTGGTGGTGTCAGTTTCTTCATTTTGTTTCGGACAACACATTCCCTTCACCTAAGTTTGGTGTTGAGTCCACAAGTAGAAAAACGATGAACTGCCATGATAAATGAGCAGCTATATTTATTGTGCTATATTATAAATGTACTGAATGAAGAATGGGTTTTGATTTAAGAATCTTCGTGAATCGTTTTTTTAATCAAATTGTGATATCGAAAGAGTCACACACCTAAAAGATTTGCTGGACTGAAGCGTTGTCAAACCGATGCATTGTGTGTGTGTGTGTGTGTGTGTGTGTGTGTGTGTGTGTGTGTGTGTGTGTGTGTGTGTGTGTGTGTGTGTGTGTGTGTGTGTGAATATGTGCGTGAGATAACCTAGTTCTCTGTGGTGAGCTTTGATTTTCAGAGTGAGTCTGCAGTGGTGTTGTTTCTCGACTCCCCTGACAGGCTGTTCTGTGTGTGTGTGTGTGTTTGATGTAAAAATAGATCTTTTACCCATCATTTCCTTCATTCTCTCTCCCTCTCCCTCCTCTTAAATTCAATCTGAAGCTGCCATATCTAATTTAACTGTCAAAAATGTAAACGTTTTTCGATGCACAATAGCTATAACAAGGTAAAACATAACGTTGCCTCTTTTCCTCCCTGCCTCTCAGGATGTCGATCGTTAGCATCGTTGCCAGGGAGATCTTGGACTCCCGGGGAAACCCCACTGTGGAAGTGGACCTTAACACAGAGAAAGGTGACTGCCGACAAGCCTGTCTGCAAATATCAGAGCAACGGAAAAATAATAACATAATGTAATGGATGCCTGCTTAGATTTATCATGTCAGCAATGTGCCAGAAAGCGTTAGGAAAGCTCAGCAACGCAACAGTGACAATGCTGAAAATATAAATTGTTTCTGACGTCAAACGACCTTCCTTTGACCTCTGTCCAGATCAATCAGTCTACAGTTAAGGGAATTGGGGCATAGAGCCATCATCTTCTAGGCCAAGGATATACAGTATAATCCTGCTTGCTGACCCCACTGAGATAAAAACACATCCACCAACATTTTATTTTAAAGTGCACCTTTCATGCTATTTTTAGGCAATAGCAAATAGATATAGATATAGATATATACAAATATATAAAAAACATGTCTATGAAGTGTTTTGCTCAAAATACCAAACAGATCACCCATTCTAGCCATGCCTCATATCCCTCTATTTCACTTCCTGTTTCAAAGTGCTGATTTTGGATATAAAGCTTTAAAAAATAAAAAAAAGATTAAAAAAAAGAAAGGAGGGGGCTGAGCTCATGCGGGAGCGGCAGCTACTGTCTAAACTAAATACTGCCGTGATGAAACGCCATATCATGGATTATTTATGAAACAGTATGGAGCTCAAAGGCTTTCTCTCTTGCCGGTTATACCACAAGGTGAGTTCCTTTTTATTTCCTGCTTCTTCACACACATGCTCTCCAGTACAGGTTAGCTCTGAGTGTTAGCGATGCTAATGTAAACACCGACCATATTACGTCCAAAACAGTCGGGCATTGTTTCTGATAGCAACTTTCTGATAGTGCCATGGGTCCACATTTCCGATATTACGTCATATCGGATGCAAATCTGGATCAGCTCCGTTGTACCCCCGTTTTTAGAGATTTGGGTACGGAGGAAAAGAGAGAGGGTTTTATTTTGTGAGTTCCCTGACACACCGGGGACACATATTTATGTATAAAAGACATCAAAAAGTGCATTTTGCATGATAGGTCCCCTTTAAATTTCAGAAAGATAAAAAAAAAGTCTATACAAGTAACTTCAACAATATGGTGTCTTCCGACCTTAAAATCTAGACCAATTGTTAATTCTGTGTGGGTACACAAGAAAGGTTTCTAATCTCTGGCTTTGGAATCCAGACCTCATGTATAACTAACCTAAGAAAGGACCAGCAGTTGGAAGAGAAACACAGAGAAATAGTCGATCTGTTTTTAGTTTGGTTGGTTGACTGTTGGAGGGTTACTGTCTCAATATCATAGTCCTGCGCTTTAAGGAAAAGCATAACGATTTGGTCTCCTGTCAATGTGGACACATCTCCTTTGCGAATGCCACAGCGTTGTGGCTGGTCGAGTTTTACGTCACATTTTTATAAAACACATCTAACCGGATAACGTATATTGGTCATGGACATTTGTATCTTAAAGGTCACCTATTATGCAAAATCCACTTTTTCATGTCTTTTATACATAAACATGTGTTAAGAGATTCTGAAAGTTTCAGAAAAAAGAGATTCGCTTACTTTCGGTCCTGATCCATTTGTATAAAAACCTGTCTGAAAATGAGCTGATTTTTTGGCTTGTGTAACCATTAGCCAATAACCAACCAAGGTAACACCTTATCACCTGAATCTCCTCCTAGAGCACCATTTTGCACTTTCACACCGGAGCACTTTCCCCCGAACTAGACCGATAGGGGGGGGGAGATTTGGTTTCACACCAAAAAGGATCTAGGCCTAGTCCCTAGTTCGCGCAAACCTTTTCACCCTCAGATCCTCCCTGCTAGCGAGGTAGTACTATCCTGGGGAGGAAATGGTTCGTGTGTGTGTCAGCCACGCTAACAATTTCTGATTGGCTGGGCGAATTGCAAACCACGCCCGTAAAACTCAGAAAAGTTTTGTGAAGCCGCCATTTTATTTGCTCGCATTAGCCGAGCGCACCAACGGAGAGAGACTAACTTATGGCAACACAAAATAAAACATGGGAGCGGTGGAGTGATGAGGAGGTGTCGGCGCTTCTGGCGATTTACTCTGAAGACGCGACCCAGTAGCTTCTACTGAAGCCAGTCCCCAACTCCGGGACTTCAGGTGGCAGTATACGCCGTGAAGTTGTTTGCGGCCTGCCAGTAAACCCAAAGCAGAAGAGGAAGAAGTGACGTCAGCGGCTTCATTTGCCTAATCCTCCCTCTGGGACTTATTCCGGTGAGAACGCGATCTACTAGGACAGTTCGAGGGACTAAAAAGTTCGGTGGGAACAAGTACCAGGGATACGTACCGGCTAAGTACTTGGTGTGAAAGCGGCTATTGTGTTCTTTTTAACCAAATATCTCTCAGAGGGGCATTGTGAGTGGCACCTTATTTTCATCTAAGGTAAAAGACAGTGAATCAGCACTTTTGAAACAGGGCTGAAACAGAGGGGATTATGGGATGCTACAATTTGGTTTTTGGAGCCAAACACTTCAGAGACTTGTTTTGTATCTGAGACCTATGATATATTGTTGAAAAACAGTATAATAGGGGACCTTTAAGTTAATTAAAACTCTGACCTGCAGATTGGTTTCCTCCTCTCCTCCATAATTTCTTTAGTTTAAAACCTAATGTGTTTCTCTGTTTGTCTGACTTTCAGGTCTGTTCAGGGCTGCAGTGCCCAGTGGAGCATCCACAGGGATCTACGAGGCTCTCGAGCTACGAGATGGAGATAAGAGCCGCTACAAGGGCAAAGGTACGGGGACAGATCAAATGTGTTTGCATGTGTAATATATTTTCAAAAAGTTAAAGCTATATTATGCAATTTTTGACCAAAAGTGTAGTTCAATTCCAACACATATTCGATATAGCCCTATTTTAGCTAGCCGTTTTCTTCCACCTGGTAACTCATGGTATTTTCTCATGGTGCACAGGTATTCTTGAACCCATAACCCCAGAACTTCTACATACATTTACGATTACAACTCCCTTGATGCTTCCATAGCGAGCCAAAAGCTAGATGTACCACTTTTTATCACTAGATCATTTCTTTTTGCTGTTTGGTGTTTAGAAGGTCGTCTGTATCAAACCAATCGTTCAAGATGGCTTTCCCGCAGAAAATGGTTTTATTACTAAGGCTAGCACATATTTTCTGCCTTGAACGTCTGAACAAGCGGCTGTGCATGTGATTAAATTAATCTTATAGTTGAGGATTCGCTTCCACCTAGGACACATAAACATTTACCGATCCACACTCTACGTTGCGTTACTTGCCAGTTCGAAATGTTTCTGTCTTTGTATTGGACAAATTATAGTCATGTTGGTGATCTCAGTAATGTTGAATCACCTAACAAACTCTCTTGAGTGTCAAACGCAACAGAAGCATGCACAGTCACAGGGACACAAACTTTGGTAGACACTGACAGACATGGTGAATTACATAATTTGTCTCATGAGGACCATAGCGGTCCCTCATGGACACGTGGAAAGTATAATTTGCCCTTTGTAGATTTGGTGAGAGCTATAAGACCATATAGCAACCATACAGTCTAGGCGCAGTCCATCTTTGCTATACCCCCACTCCATTTTCTCTTTGGTAAAATGTACTTTTCCCTTTTCTTATCGCCTTATTTTAATTTCTCCTTTTTTCTAGGTGTTTTGAAGGCAGTCGGGCACATCAACGACACTTTGGGTCCCGCCCTTTTAGCCTCTGTAAGTCAACAATCATTTATACTCATAAATATATTTAAAGATATATCATGTCTTGTGTTCTCTGTAAGTTCTCAGCAGGCCATATACTTAAAGAGGGTACAGCATTGCTCTTTTTAAAGAAATAACTTTCAGCAATTGGCCAGTTTAAAGGTCGTGACTGCATTGTCAGCAGCATTTCTTAAAGATATTCTTACTTGAGATTTAGTGGGATAGAAATCCAACTTCACGTTTGGGCTAATTCTCTCAGTTCTGGTGGTTGGTTGCCCCATTCTAGCTCCATTCAGCTTTGCTAAAATGTGGATATTCTGGCGCAAGTTACTGATACGGAAGTAAGTTTGGACCTTAAATGTGAAGAAAACAACCCTGTGCAGCACGTGACACAAAGTGCATGTTCAGCTGATCGATGTGCAGATGACTATCACATCTGGATGTGCAGACAGGAAGCTGTGAGAAGAAGATGAAGTGTATTCAGCTGTCAGTGACAGAGGGGACGAGTGAGTGTGTGGTGAGAGATACTGTGAATGAAAGATGATAATGTGTCTGTTTGAGAAAGATGTGTGAGTGAGAGGAACAGTGGATAAGATGTGTTTGTTTGTGTGGAGGTAATTGTACTAGTGTGTGAGTATAATAGCATGATCCTGCAGCAGATGTTTTTTCCTGGGAAATGAATGTTCGTGATCAGTCAAGCGGGAAAAAAACAGCTGGGCGGCTCGGAGCTCCTGAACGCCACATCAGAGAGACAGATCGGTCTGGCTGTACTGGTGTGTGTGTGTGTGTGTGTGTGTGTGTGTGTGTGTGTGTGTGTGTGTGTGTGTGTGTGTGTGTGTGTGTGTGTGTGTGTGTGTGTGTGGTGTGTGTGGTGTGTGTGTGTGTGTGTGTGTGTGTGTGTGTGTGTGTGTGTGTGTGTGTGTGTGTGTGTGTGTGTGTGTGTGTGTGTGTGTGTGTGTGTGTGTGTGTGTGTGTGTGTGTGTGTGTGTGTGTGTGTGTGTGTGTGTGTGTGTGTGTGTGTGTGTGTGTGTGTGTGTGTGTGTGTGTGTGTGTGTGTGTGTGTGTGTGTGTTAAAATGATGTAAATCACACCAATACTTTATTCAAAACCCTTTTACCCAGTCAAAAAACATAATAAATAAAAGTCCTTTGAACTTCAAGTACAATAATCAACCCAAGAAGATGTCGTGGGAAGAATTTAAAACCTTGATTTATGTTATACATTATCCAACTGTGCGTTTAATTAAGATGTGCTTCTGTGTGTGTCTGCAGGGCATCAGCGTGGTGGAGCAGGAGCAGCTGGACAACATGATGATCGAGATGGACGGAACAGAAAACAAATGTGAGTCAAAACAAGTCGTGATGACTTAACACGACATCGCCAGACTCCCTCAGACACCTGGAAACCCTCCTCCTCGTTGTCAGAAGTCACAGACGTTTTTGTACAAGGTTTTTTTCTTTTCACCAACGGCACATTTGTCACAAAGTAACACGAGGCAAAAAGACAGGTTACAAGGCAGAGTGAATAAATTGCTGTTCCAAACAGGCTTTGGCACAAACTCAGCCCCTTAATAAATAAATGTAATGGTCATTTACTTTGATCTACAATCATGCCAATTAATTATTTCAGGCAGCAAGGTAAACAGCAGGCAAATAATTAGTATTGGGAGGACTGAATACGTGTCAGAATGGAGCTGAATGTGTTGAGACATATTCTTATTAACTTTCTGCCAATAAATAAATGGACAACATTGTTAGCAGGTTCAGAACGATAAAGGGATATCAGGTTTTTGTGCCACTCACAGTGGAGGAATATTCTTTTTTTTATAGAAAATACAAATTTGAAAAAGTATAGTTTTCTAAAACGTTCAGGTTAGTACGGTGGCCGACAGGTGCCCAAAACACTTCCGTTAGGAGAACCGTGCTGCAGTTTCAAAAACGATAACAGAAACGGGGGCGCTAAAAAGTGATGCACACAGCTGGGACTGTGCCGCTTGTTGACATTTGGGGATTTAAAGTTGGCCAGCTGTACATAGAAAGTACTTCAAAAAAATACCTACATACTATGACTAATGATACAACCATTTTTTTTTTTTTTTCGTGTGTAATATGGTACCAAGATCTGTTGTCACAATGGTTAAAGAATTGAAATGCTTCACATGGAAAATGTGTGTCTCTTACTTCAAACTAAAAGATTATTACCAGATGAGTGCATTTAGGAAGAAATTATTAAATAATGACATTAAATTACATTTATTTTGTTAGTCAGAAGAAATACTGCAGTTTGGTTGCAAAACTTTAGTTTGTTCATTGGTCAACATTATTTAAAAAAATAACTTTTGTTGAATATACAAAATATATAACAATACAGAATTCATTTCTTGTTTTCTATCCTGTCAAACAGCTCAATTTGGGGCCAACGCCATCCTGGGGGTGTCTCTAGCCATCTGTAAGGCCGGTGCTGCGGAGAAAGAGGTCCCCCTGTACCGCCACATAGCCGACCTGGCTGGAAACACAGAGCTGGTGCTGCCGGTTCCTGTAAGAAATGTGCTTTTTGATCAAGTTAAAAATATACTGGACATATGTACAGGTGTTGATAGACTTCATAGGGTGCTAAAAATAGTTTATTATTCGCCTTTTTTCTCTGCTCTCATTGTCAACTTGTTTTTTGTTTCCTCCTCTCATCTCCCCTCTTTCCTCATTTCCGCCCATCTCCTCTCCTCTTCAGGCCTTCAATGTGATAAATGGAGGTTCCCATGCAGGTAACAAACTGGCCATGCAGGAGTTTATGGTTCTTCCTGTAGGAGCTGAGTCTTTCAAGTAAGTGTTCGTTTCCAAATCAATTTAATAAAACTTCTTCCATTTCCTCATGATTTCTTTCTCTCCTGCTGATGTTGGTATCCACTGTCATTTCTTTCTACTCTGTGACAATCTCTCTCCTCTTCGCTCCCTCCATCTGTCTCTCAGGGAGGCTTTGAGGATAGGATCGGAGCTGTACCACACGCTGAAGGGGGTGATCCAGGAGAAATACGGCCAGGATGCAACCAATGTGGGAGACGAGGGTGGGTTTGCTCCCAACATCCTGGAGAACAGTGAGGGTAAGGCTCCTCGGTCAATATTAAATATCACTAATAATGCAGTGTGTACAGTGTTTGTTGTGTGATGGAGCTTAATTTACACTTTGGTACCATTTCATCTCAACTAAACATTCTGATATGTTGAGAGAATTAGTGCATGAAAGAAGCTTAGATTTTTTGATCAGTAAAAAGCAGTCATTGCAAAGGTTAAAGACAAAGAAAAGGTTTTAAAAAGCATGTCCTTTGCTTGTGAAATTTGGATAGATTTTATGGCAACTTTTTGTGAGAATAATGAAATCACGCATTGTCACCCCAAAGTAAATACATATTAACGTTTTCTGGCCCTCATAAACATGTCGAAGAGTTATCAACAGTTTTCATTCCTCAGTCGTGTCTTCAGATTTGTCTCTAAGGGTGGATTGAGAGGTTCAGAAAACCCTTTTTTTAGAAAATTCATCATTATTATAATTTTGTATTTCCTGCCTTACAATTCCGTCTCCTACTCCTAACTCTCAGCCTCTTGTTTTAACTACTCAGCTCTGGAACTGCTGCAGACGGCCATAGAGAAAGCTGGCTTCACAGACAAGGTGGTGGTCGGGATGGACGTGGCTGCCTCCGAGTTTTACCGTGATGGCAAATACGACCTGGACTTCAAATCCCCACCAGATCCAGAGAGACACATCTCAGGAGAGGAGCTGGCTGACATCTACCAGGGCTTCGTCAACAACTACCCAGGTGGGCTACGTTGGTTGTTTATGTTGATCAGAGACAGAAAATCTTGTCCCCTGTTCTCACCTCTCTTCTTAATTCCCCAGTGGTTTCCATCGAGGACCCGTTCGACCAGGATGACTGGAAAGCCTGGTCCCGTCTGACGGCCCAGGTGGGGATCCAGGTGGTGGGGGACGACCTGACGGTGACCAACCCTAAGAGGATAGAGAAAGCTGCTGAAGAGCGAGCCTGCAACTGCCTGCTGCTCAAAGTCAACCAGATCGGCTCCGTCACTGAGGCCATACAGGCGTACGTCTGCTTTATTGTAATGTTTAAAGGTTAATGAGAGTGGGTGATTGACTACCAAGGCGATGACAAATCATTTGCATTGATGAACAAACATTGGAATTTAAATATTTGAGTGGTTCTGACATCTTAGCTTAGTCGGTAGAAAGTGCAACCCAGTGATTTGAAAGAATGGTCCCCACCACAGGACATCCTGCAAAAATCTGAAATGTTTAGAAAATTGTTTTGCCCGACCCTTTGTAAAAAATGACATCATGTATGCGCAATTGACAAAGTACGAGTCAGCGAGTATCACGGAGAAGATGATTCCAATGCTGTTTCATCTGCGTTATTAGGAGGCTCCACCAACCCAGTCTCACGGCATTTCGTGTAATAGTCACGAAATTAATTTAATCTATTGATTCGTGTTCACCCACATGATTTTCCCCTTTTTTTCGTGTCACACAGAACGATTTTAAAAGCAATGTATTTCTATTGGTAGTATGTTTCGTGCCTGCACCACGTCTTTTTGTCCGGTCGGGTCTTGGAAGACCAGAGGCTGTGTGGTTCATAAACACATGTTCTTACTCAATATCAAGCCACGATTATTGTTTTTATTTTAAATTGTATAATGTCTGACTTTTTTTGCCCTCCGCGAGGAAAAGAAATGGGGCTCAGAGCCTCAGAGTACTGAAATCTGTATTTTTTAAATCTTTCTTTCCTTCTAATTTGTTATTATTTGGTGCAGGCACGAAACATACTACCAATAGAAATACATTGCTTCTAAAATCGTTCTGTGTCAGAATACTGAAATCTGTATTTTTTAAAATCTTTTTTTCCTAATTTGTTATTATTTACATTACTTTTAAAATCGTTCTGTGTGACACGAAAAAAATGGGGAAATCGTGTTGGTGAACACAAATCAATAGATTCATTTTGTGACTATAACATGAAATGACGTGAGACTGGGTTGGCTCCACATATCTATGAACACAACTCACCACTGTCAGTCCACTACGTTGTTCCCACAGCGTTGTTCCCACAGCGTTGTTCCCACAGCGTTGTGAACACAGCGTTGTTCCCACGCTACACACACTTTCTTCTCAGTAAGAAAACCAAAAACCAAAATGACCGCCTCTGGCAGCCCTGTGAACTTCGACAGGCCAGAGAAAGTCGTCCATCTTGGATGAGACGACAAAGAGGCCTATCAGGGAGATAACATAAGGCGCTTTCACACCAAGTACTTTGCCGTACTTATGGCGCATTTCCACTACAGCGCGGAGCGCGGTTTAAGCGTGCCGTGCCATGCCCGTCCCGTTTTGGGTTGCGTTTCCACTAGGCGTAGTTCCGGCTAGCGGGTACTTTTTCACAGTTTTCTGGCTCTCCAAAATCGAGGTTCTTTCCGGGCCAACAACCGGGCTGAGTATGCTAAACTAGTGAGAGAATCGCTGGCAACTACAACAAAATGAACATATTTAACCGTGATTTAATTGTAATACACGTTTCAAAATGATGCCGAAGTAACAACATACTGATACCGGTTAGTAAAAACCATGAATTAATGCACAGACACACACACAGGCACGCAAACACATGTGTTAGTCACATCACTCGTTACCTGTCAGCCATGTTGACCTTGTGCCTTGAGAGGAGGAGCATCACACCGGCCTTTGCGGGAGATAAACGTAGGACAGGAAATGACAACAGGCTGTCAATCAAATGTTTTGATGCAGCTATAGCGTTGACTGCCCTCTTGTGAATGTGTGTGTCATCAATCTCTGACTTTAACAAAACGTCACTCAGGGTTATGAAGCTATCAGTCATGACAGTGTAGCTGGATTACTTCAGGAGGGGAGGAGGAGGAGGAGGAGGAGGAGGAGGAGGAGGAGGAGGAAGAGAGGAGCACGGTGAAATGAAATGGTGCTGATGACAGGAAAGGTGATGTATCGTATCCGTCACATAATGTGGTTAATATGATATATTCCTCTAATATCTCAGCAGGATAAGTAGGAACAAGAGCGAGGGCTTGTTCATTTATTAGAACCTCAAATCTGACCCGAGGCACCCAGAGTCCTAATTTTCATGCTAGCAGGTTAAAGTGTCAGACGAGCTGTCGCCACTAATAAATCACAATCTAATAAATTAACCCTAAGATTGATGAACAGAAGCAGAAACTCCCACAATGGTGTTTCATACACCCATTCACATGATGGCTACTGAATTAAGTATGAAATAAAACAATACTTTGGACACTTAGAGGACATATATGCATTTTTTAGGTTATTTGCTTTAATGTTCAAAAAGCCTGACTATTCTGCAGCACCTATTTTCACCCTCTGTTTGAAACCAGAGCCCAGTCTGCTCTGATTGGTTACCTGGCTGGCTGGCTTTTTTCTTTGATTGGTCAACCACTTAGAGATGTCCCGCCCCTGTACAAAATGTCTTAGGGAGGTCTCTAAGTTGAAATACAAAAGAACATAGAGAGTGTAAGTGCTTTAAAATTGTACTTAATGACAGTTCTTGAGTAAAGTATCCTTCTGTGTGTCTCTCAGGTGTAAACTGGCTCAGGCTAATGGCTGGGGTGTGATGGTCAGCCATCGTTCAGGAGAGACAGAGGACACGTTCATCGCTGACCTAGTGGTGGGACTCTGCACTGGACAGGTAAACACTCACACACACGCACAAACACACACTCACACAAATAACTAACTGATTCCTCAATACACGTATTAAAATGACTAACTAAAGTCTTACTCATAAAACACTTACCTAAAGAACTTAAATGGCAGACTTTTATCTTTGAAGTTTTAATGATTTTTCACATATTTAGAATAATATAACGAATCAGAAATAAGGAATGTGCTTCAATATCCTTTCATTGTTCTATGTCCTTGCATGTAATAACTCACTTTTCAATAAAAAAAACATTATTTATGAAATGTTTCCTTCTCTTCATTAGACTACACATACTTCAGATTGGATGCAATTGATACAGCCTTATTATATTTGCCTTTTTTTGTCATGCAGATTAAGACCGGTGCCCCTTGCAGATCTGAGAGGCTGGCCAAGTACAACCAACTCATGAGGTAATCTCAAAATGTCTCTCCTGCAACACACAAATGTTTCTGATTTATTCAAATTCATCTCTTCAAAGCCTCTCTCTCTCTAAGCACATTTCAGTTCTCCTGATTTGGAAAATGTTTAATACCCAATTAGTACATTCTTTATTGTTATGTCGCAGATTAGTTTAGTTCCCCTCGTAACAAGACTTTAGTCGAGCTACTAAAATGTCTCAGGATCTAGACTAACCTATACAAATCTTGATTTAATCAATGATAAATTGTGAAATTGGAAGTTTAAATATTGGATGTTCTCAGCATTTCTTTTACAGGCAGAATTGCTGCTTCAGTTAATATTTCATTCTCAGTATCTTCTTGTGGCTCCAAATTTGGCGGTGGCCCTGCTTCTGTATAACACTGCTCCTCAGGTTCACGCTTTGTCTTAGCGCTTAGCATCACAGATCTAATTGACGTGACAGGTGACAGCAGCGCCAGTGTCAGCCCATGTGTCCGAGCCAGTCAGCAGCAGAGCGAGGAGGAGGAGGGAAGAGGGAGGAGGGGGGAGGAGGAGGAAGGAGATGGGATTGGCTTAGTGTTGTAATCCCATCGGACCGCTGACGAGATACAAGAAGGTGGAGGGTGGAAAGATTTACAGAGGCATTAACCAGCGATAAAAGCTAATCAGTGCAGTGAAGCATGCACAAACACACACTCTCACACACAAGCACAAACACACACTAAAGTGTACAGACACACAAGAAAGAAATGAATCATTTATACTGTGGCAAATTGTCACACATAGGGAGACATTTGAAGGAGGGTCAAAGTCAAAAGCAGGAGGGGTGACAGTCTGACTTTTACTTCCTTGTTAGCGAGAAATAAAACTGGATCTTGCCTTTCAACCATGACAAGTGAACTGATCTGTGCTCCTGTAATCCTTAACAGGGATGGAGTTATTGGATTTGCCAAAAACAAAGCAGGAGTAAACTGGTTGAGCTTTGTTGTAAGCCCTACTATTCCACTGATCAGCAGTTATTTAAATAGCAAGTCTTTGCTAGTCTTTATTTGTATGTATTGCCAAGGATGGGTAGTCAGAAATTACGGAGAGATGACATCACACGTTTGATCTTTTTTAAAGGGGCTCATTTTCAGGTTCATATTTGTATTGTGTGCCTCTACTGTGACATGTTTACCAGCTTTAATATTCAAAAAAGCTCTTTATTTGTCTCATACTGCAGCACCTCTTTTCACCCTCTGTCTGAAACCAGAGCCCAGTCTGCTCTGATTGGTTAGCTGGCCGGCTCTGTTGTGATTAATGAACAGTTTAGAGATGTCCCGCCCCTTAATCACGTACAATGTGTTGGAGCGTTATCCAAAAGAAGCGCAACAAAGTAGTCCAATCGAGATAAGCTCTTTTTTGAGACATTTGTTATTGATAAATGCTTTTAAGAACTATAAATAATTCTCTCAACTCTTTCCTCGTTGTTTTTCATTCTCGGCAGGATTGAGGAAGAGTTGGGCGACCAGGCTCGCTTCGCAGGCCATAACTTCAGGAACCCCAGCGCCCTGTGAAACTGACAGACAGGAATGACTCACACACACACACACACACACACACACACACACACACACACACACACACACACACACACACACACACACACACACACACACACACACACACACACACACACACACACACACACACACAAACTAACTAACTAACATTGAGCCATGTACAATGAAAGATCATGAAGATTCATGAAAACACACGAGCAAAAGAGACAAGCAAAAAAAAAAACCCATAAAATGAATTATGCACTGGACTTTGGATAGTTAAGGATGGGATGTGTATGCATACACACTCATAGAGTAAGCAGATGCAACAAACGCTCACGCACATGCAGGGGAATACCATAGAAATATCTAATTTATAAGCCAGACATGCACTGTTACTGTAGTTTTAAAGGAATAGTTCATGTACAGCCACAGGATAGACCTGCAAAAATAAAGATTATTGTTGTAAAAACAGAGGGATAAATAAGTAGAAATATAATAAGTAGAAATATAATAGAACTATGTAGACTGAAATGCAACTGAAAGAGATGAAAAAAATACAACTTTCAGCACCAAAAGAGGACGATGCACCCGCAGAAAGAAACAGCAGTTTCAGGGACTGAGTGAAAAAAGAAGAAAACTACACAAACACGAGAACACTTACACACTCAGCTGCGTCACACTCTCACCTGGACACTGAAGTACCTGCACTCCACCCACTTCTGTCCTCATCCCCTCTTTGTCTCCTCGTCGTGTCTGTTTCTCAGTTTCTAAATCCCTCTTGTTCTTCCCGTCCTGATGTGATTCTGATTATTCGTCTTTATGCTTGAAATCCCGACTTTGTCCTAAAGAAGAAGAAAAGAAAATCTAGACCCCTGAATCCCTTCGTTCCTTCTGTTTCTCCTGAATGTCTATAGAATAGATGTGTTGAAAAAGAAGAAAGAAAATTTTAAAAAGAACGCTTGTCATTGAAAATAATGTGAAAATATGTTAAATAAAAGATGGTAATTTACAATTTCAATCACAGTTTTAAGGTTTTTGTCTTTCTTTGTGTCTGTGTTGCTTATTCAGCTCACTTTTTTGTGACTTTTAGCTATCTGAAATAGCAGGGATGCATACACAATCACATGAACCTTCCTTTATTTATCTGAACAGAATGCACACAATTTCTTAAAGAGGTTCTATTATGCAAATGTTCAGGTTCATATTAGTATTTTGTGCCTCTACTGCGACATGTTTACATGCTTTAATGTTCAAAAAGGTCTTTATTTTTTTTGCAGACCATTAACATGCACAAAAACCTATATATAAATACAGGAAAAGGAACACTCCAGAAAGCATAATAAGCAGAGCAAACAATGCAAAACAAGGTAACATATTTTAGTGTATCACATTTGATTCATTTATTCTTCCAGTTCCTATGATAAACACGGAACACAAAGGGTTAAACATACAGCAGCACTGTGCAGTGATTACTACATCAATCTTTGGTGCCTATTGGTAACAACTTCACAATAAAAGTCTTGACTACTCAAAGCTGAGTACTCGATTTTCAGGTTTATATAGCTTTATATATCTATACAGTATATAGATATACAAACAGTACAGTCTGTGAAAAGCTTTTATTGTCAAGGGCCCTGAAGTAACAGTTAGTGCATATGGGTGAGAGTGCATCGTTAATACAACATTTAAACAGAGTTTAAGACACAATTGAGAACATCAAAATACTCCGGGGCAATACATTAAAGAGGAAAATATATATATATATTTACTTTAAATTAATTCTACCGCCCTATACCTCTTTCATAACATATATTTAGCAAAATAAAACTTTATTTTCGGACCTGCTGATCAGTCAGCCCAGTTTACAGAGACATGTTGTCAATCTGAAGGGCTGGCTGATGGAGCCAAAGTTGCGTCCGTTAAGCACGTGCATTGATGATTTCAATAAACTCTGGTTTCAGAGAGGCTCCGCCCACCAGGAAGCCGTCCACGTCGTTCTGTGACGCCAGCTCTCTGCAGTTACCTGCCGTTACTGAACCTGGTGGACACAGAGGGAGAAACAAAGGGGATTATGTGGGAAATTATCAAATTAGCAAGGGTGCCACCTTCTGTGCAAAACATGAGAAAACAATAGTTCCACTAAATGAATTGAGTACTATATAATTTGCATGGAACCACCCGTCTGTGTGTGAAGGCCTTTAAGACCCCATTTACACGCAAACACATACAAAATGCAAACGAACCGAATACGATATCAAAAAAGTCTTCCGTTCACACGAGACCGCTCGGGAGCGTTGGAGACGCTGTAGTATATATGCCGGGCCTGTATGGCATGGTTGCCATGGTTGCCCTTTTGTTTATGCCCCGCGGTGGATTTAGCAACATGTAGTTCATGTAATTCTCCATGTCCACTTGTTGCTGATGGTTGTGGTAGAGGAGCTGTAGATTTTGCACTAACATCTGTAGCATGGTCAGTAGCAGTAGCAGTAGCAGTAGCTACTGACAGTAGCTACTGACAGTAGCTACTGACCATGCTACAGCAGTGAGCAGCAGAGGTGGGGAGAGGTGGGGCTATGGCTTCATCGTTATCAGGAAATGATCGTATAGGGCGTACACACAGAGCCGTTTGGCCCCTTAGAGCCTTCCGTTTGCAGATCTATCCACCTTGGGACCCGTTATCGTTTGCGGGGTCCGTTTCCGCGTTTCCGTTGCGGCCTCGTGTGAACGAACGGGCTATACGAAAGAGAAAAGTAGCGGATACAACCGTTTGCGTTCTCGTGTAAACAGCACATAAAGGGGCCGTATTATGCTCATTTTCTGGTTTTAGATTTGCCTCCACTGTGACATGTTTACATGCTTCAATGTTCAAAAAGCTATTTTTCTCATACTGCCTGTGCTGCAGCACCTCTTTTCACCCTCTGTCTGAAACCAGAGCCCAGTCTGCTCTGATTGGTTAGCTGGCCGGCTCTGTTGTGATTGGTCAACTTAGTCAAGCTTAGAGATGTCCCTCCTCTTAGCCTATCACGTAAAATGTGTTAGAACGCTAGCCAATAGAAGCGCAAGTATCACGTAGTGATTTCACTATGTTAAAGAAGTAACATAGGACTACAATCAAGGTGTTTCACACTACAGGAAAAGGGAAAAAACCCAACCGATAAATATGTTGTTTAAATTCCTTAAACCATACCAAAGTAGGGTTTTAAGATGATAGAAATACTTTATTGTTCCAGTGGGAGTGAAATTAGCATGAGTGGCTCTTCTGACCTTAGCTGTCATTGTGGGTATATTAATGCTGCCCATTATGGACACAAGCAATTTTCACCCATTTATGAATTATATGTTTTAAATTTGATAACACCAATGTGTTTCGTATACCCTAAACCTCCAGGGATGTACACAGTTTAATACTGGCAACTTCTAATTGTGGGAAATACGAAAACGTCTTTTAAAACTACAATTCCCAGTAGAGACGTGCCATAGAACATGTTGCGAAACACAATAGCCAGCATGTGTAGTTCTGGGGGGGGGGGGGGGCTGGGCTGGACCGTCCAAGTCCAGTTTTGGATAGTCTGCCGTGGTTCCATTCCATTTCAAAGAGCTGTTTGACGCTCGGCGTAACCTTGTCGCACTGCCACTCCAACATCCAATCATAGAGCTTGAGGACTAATCACGGGGTTTGTAAAGCAAGGCGGATGTTGAAGTCCCAAACGATAGCTGAGTATTCTGGGTAGTGTAGTGTCTTCGGAAACTCTGTAGTGTCTAAACTCCGAAAAAACTATTTGTTTCTCCGAATCGAAGGTTAAAAACACAAAAGCATTGTACACAATTTAAACCAATCAATATTGTGTAATTAACAAGGATAAACTGATGTTTTTTAGTGGATGAGTAATGCAGATATCACTGTGTAATCATTTGACAGTGAGGGGAATACTTCCGGTTTTATTATGAAAACTTCGAGACCGGAAACACTGTTTTCACCTCGTGAGGGTTGACGCCAACTTTACATGGACGCTGCGGAAAGACGTAGTATACTACATGTTCTCCTGGCGAGACCTCAAATCATCTTCGTAATATCTATCAAACTATAGATCCTACACATCCACTGGACGTAGATTCTAAAAGTACAATATACACTTCTCGCTAGAAATCTAATCAAAAAGCATTTTAATGGCCAAACTATTCCACAATTTAGGATTTTCCAGAGAGGGTTATTTGTGAATAAACGACCCTCCGGAGCGTTTGCAATCAACGGGAGCATGTTGTTTCTTACACGACCACTAGAGTTGCTACACTTTAAAACATGACTATGGGTCGTAATAAGCTGCTGAACAATCAACCTATATGGTCGTTTTTTGTAGGAGGACAGGCTGGCAAATACACACATCGCTAAGACTATCCAAACAGGGCCTTTAAAAGGTTAAACTGACATAAACAAAAAAGAATATTACTGACCTCCGTAGATGATGCGCACAGAGTCGGCCACGTCGTCTGACACGTTGGATCTGAGCCACGCCCTCAACTTCTCATGGACCTCCTGAGCCTGGACACACATACCACACAAAATTGCACATTCAAATGTGAACCTTAGACAAGGAAATTACAGTTTAATTCCTGTTTAACGGAAACAAATTGACCAAAATCTAAAACCTTTAATGAATTAACCTTCATTATTCCAGTTCGTTAGTTTATCTGGAACATGGACAACTTTTAGTTTTTACATAAATATGAATTCCATAAGAAATCAAAAATATTTTTTTGGAGCTGACACTGGCTAAATGTCAGCCCTCAGATGTGAGTATACAGTATTGGGGTTTGTTGTGAAGAAATAACTGGCAGTCAGTTTGAAAAATAGCATTTTTAATTTTTAAATGGCCAGAATGAATTAGAAAACAATAACAAAATAAGAATGTTACCTGTTCAGGTGAGGCTGTCTTGCCTGTGCCAATGGCCCACACAGGTTCATACGCCAGCACCACTTTCCCCCAATCGCTCACATTCTCTGGAAAACAGAAACCAATATTTTAAGTATTTCCTGATATTTAACATGAGTATGCAGCCATGCTAACTGAGGTAAATACCCCAAAACACTGAGCCATCTTACACAGAACAGAAGAGAATGCTTGTACTGAACAGCTGAATATTCTGAAGTCTATTCGGAGTTGTTTCCCAGTCCCCATTTTCAGAAGGGAAACAATGTAACACAAACACAAAAGGTACATATATTTCAAAATAAGAAACATCCTAAAGGCAAAGCAGTGCAGCAAACATTCATCAACCCTTTAACTTGTTTTCTGTGAGAGAAAATCTCACATTACCAGAGGAACAACACAAATGTGTCTCAAGATATTCCTCTAACAGCAGAGACTACTGACCTACTGTATTTGCATTTTAAATCAGCGTGTAGCCCACTTTGACTGCAGAAGTAGGCTGCATGAAGATAGAGAGCTGACCAGGGAAAGATCATCAATAAAATACTATAAATCGGTCGTAAGAACCTATATGCAGACACATGAGGATTATGTGGACCGGCCACAAAATTGACATTATTTATGGTCAATGTTCAGCAATGCCTTGGAAACATACATTAGGGTAAATAATAAATCAGTTAATTCTATCCGTAGAGGCAAATCAGCAGGCAAATAGTTACAGCAGAAAACAAATATCCAAAGGAACAACAATGTAATATTGCATACAAATAAATTATAATAATATCCACTAGCATGAATGAAAAAAGAAAGGAATGACATATAAGAAAGTGCCAAGAGAAAAAAAAAGAGATACTCAAATGTTATTGTAAACTAATTAACATGTTTGTTATTTGCATTTATAAGCGTTTGACATGTAGCTTTTTCCTATTGCTTTTTGGAAATGAAATGTTAATTTATTTTCCTTATAGAAAGTCTGTTGTATATGTTCATTCTTATTTATTAAACATTTTTAATAAATGTATATATTTATTTTTCATTTTTGTAAATCTTTTGAAATTAACTATATTCAGTTCAATTTCCTGTATTTACC